TAAACAAAATCAATATTTTATATCAGTTTTAGTGGGAGGCTATATTGCCATCCTATTTTCTCGCCGACCCATTATGCTATGTTGCAACATTTTTATAAATAACATCCTAAGTCATAAACATTATGTAAATTTGCATCTATAATCGATTAAACAGCACTGTATTATTTAGTTCTCACTTTGTAATATTGATTATTGACAAAATTACTGTACAAAGATGTGGATGGAGAACCACAATACCACCTTCTTCTTCATAATTTGCTAAAGGAGCGTTTCAGGACCTACATAAGTTTTTTCCATCATTACAGTGAATAGAATATGCTTTTAAGTTTGCCCACCTATTTCTGAAACACCCTATATATAATAACAATATGAGATCAGAAATGATGTATTCGCAATCTATGAAATAGATTTTTATGACTTCATTTACGAGTATTTGCGTACGGGGAATGTGTTGTTGCCTATCTTAAACGTGTGACAATCTTTGCTCTCGATGAGAGGAATCTTATACATTTGCAATATATGCTGTTTCCAAATAACTGAAGATACTCATCAAGATATAATGATTTCTATCGATCGATCGGTTCTTCTTGATACACTCAACGAGCAACGTGTTTGCGTGCGTACAAAAAACAAACATTACTAGTTTCGCAAACTGTCGCAAGCCACGCGAAAAATTAAAGCGATTTACATTAATGTAATAATATAATTCAATTATGCCGAGCACATTCTCCATATATTTTGTAAAATCTTTTTATAAATTAAACGGCGATAATTAGGCCACTTTGCCTGAACGAATCGTATTGTGCATAACAAAACTATTAAACTTGCCAGTAATTTTGATTGAAATCTCGTTCTCTTCTTCTCTCCTCTCTCTCTCTCTCTCTCTCTCTCTCTCTCTCCTCTCTCTCTCTCTCTCTCTCTCTCTCTCTCTCTCTCTCTCTCTCTCTCTCTCTCTCTCTCTCTCTCTCTCCCTCTCTGTATATGTGTCATTTAATAAATACAAATTAAACCAGTGACATCGAGCTTCTGTGGATAGCCTGAGCTGTCATTCATAGCAATGCGGATTAACGCCGTGCCGTATTGTCGACGATAAATTTTCAGCGACACGCACCTCTCTGATAAATCACGCGTTACGTTTAATCGCGAAAGTGTTCAATTATGGGATTGAATTATTCTCACATTTTCCGTGTCCGCGACAAGCACACGCTGTTGTGTACGTATTGTATTATAATTTCGCGAAATCCCAAAATAAACTGTCGAGGAGACACGTCGCAGGTACGATGCGGATTGCAAAATCAATCTGTGAGGAAAAAAGAAAGCCGCGAGAACGCGCGAAATAAAATTGCGATAGACAGATCCTTCCTCGTGCGTGAAGGGCAGATTTTATTTGTTTGGAAAATAACTACCGTTCAGAAGTTTCCGTCGTAAACGAATTCGCGATAGATAAATCCTAGCGTAAGGCGCGCTCGATAAAGATCGCGAATAGAATAACGCCAGCAAATCAGTTTTATATTTGATCGAGAATCGATATCGCTGCCGCGGGGATCACGTTTTATCTGCTGCCTTCGCACTGTGAAAAGAGCGAAAAATTCGCTAGCGAACGTCACGATTGCCGCGCGTACAGCTCTCCCGAGAAACCTGTCGTACGTTATCGCGATTTTCTAAGCGAGAGCTAAGCGCACCTCGACATTTGCTCAGAGATTAGATTTTTTCTCCCCGCGACGCTACCTAATCGCGCACGAGCGCAAAAGAGCGTAAATAGATCACATTTCTGTTATTATCTCGTCGAAGTAAAAACGTAAAGCCGACGACGAGCGCTTCGACGAAAAGAAAGAGGAGAAAAGAGGAGAACACCGTCTTAAGAAAATTGAATTGTGAAAAGAAATTCTTCTCGAAAAGAAGATAAAAGATCATTGAGTTAAATATATCATTTTATCTTTACGAGACAGTCTAAGAGATAGTTAAATTGTGAAATATCAAAAAGACGGAGATATAAGGGAAAGTCGCCGATATTGTACCGGCTCCTAAATTATACCATCTTTATACTTCATAGCATCCGAAGACTTAGCACCATCTATGCGTATTATGCGCATATTATGCGAGATTCATCTATCGCCATAAAGTTAACAGAGAGAAATGAGTGTTTATGCACGGGAGCGTCTTGTTAACGAAAGGAAATAACGGTTTTTTAGGTTTAGAAGCAAGTTTTACCTACTTTCATATTAGATATTTAAAAAGTTTCAGAAGGTGTATTAATTTAGCTGCTTTTCATTTTTATACTACATTAAAATTGACATACTTACATGGCATAGCTTAGACATAACCTTACTCCGTGTACTTATTTTACTGCCGTAATTTGAAAAAGCCTAATTTTTTCTTTTAAATCGTACCACCTATTAATTGCCTATATTGCACTGGTAAAATTCAAAAATTTCTCTTCCTTTTTATAGAACAAATACTGGATTGAGTAAAAAGTAATTTTGTATTTTGTGGGCAAATGGCGATAAGAGGAAGTGTTTAGTGCAATCTTCACTTAACAGTATCTATCAATCCAACAGCATATACGATTTTTTCATATCTTTTTGGAAGGTTAGATTTTGCTGCTTACTTTCAGCTGTTGTTTGTCAAAATCTATTCAATAATTTTTGTTCGGCGACATTGTAAACATAGAGCGAAATAAGCAGTGTTTTCGGTGTTTGATGCTTTTCTATTTTCGCAAAGGGAAAAATGCGACGCGAACCAGAAAAGATATGCGCTACGTATGGAGAAGATGCCTTAAGCGAACATGTGTGCCAAAACTGGTTTGCGAAATTTCTTACTGGTGATACGACATGTCAAGATGATAAGCACTCAGATAGGCCATTGGTGGTTAATGGCGACCAAATAAAGACATTGATTGAAATTAACCCACGTTATATGACACGAGAGATCGCAGAGATAATCAATGTATCTCAAAAGACCATTGTGAACCACTTGCATATGTTTGACTATATGTCTCGGTACTATATTTGGGTACCTCACATTTTGAGCGAAAATAATTTGATGAACCGCATCTCCATCTGCAACTTATTGCTCAAATACAATAGAAACGTTCTATTTTTAAAACGGATGATAATGGGCGGCGAAAAGTGAATTGTATATAACAATATAGAGCGCAAAAGATCGTGGGAAAAACGAGATGAACCGCCGCAAACCATACCAAAGTAAAACATCCACACAAAAAAAGTCATGTTGTATATTTGTTGGGAATGGGAAGGAATCCGTTAGACCTCACATCTTTGGCAATCCGACAAAAATTATTGTAGCTTGGCTGGGATGTCTTGCCTCATCCTTCGTATTCACCTAACTTGGCACCATCAGACTTCCACTTATTCAGGTCTCTGCAGAATTCTCTCAATAGAAAGAATTTCACTGTGGAGGCTTACAAAAAGCATTTTGAGCAGTTTCTCGCCGAGAAAACTGAGCGAAACTGGGGAGTTCTGGGAATCTGTAATTCGCCTGAAAGATGGCGAAAGGTTATTGAACAAAACGGTGGATACATTCTTCATTAAAAATATTTTTTAATATGTAAATGTTGTCTTTGAATTTCACCTGAAAATACGAAATTACTTTTTACTCAACTCAGTACCAAAGAAAAAAGAAAATATAATCTATGGCCAAAAGAAAATATAAATAAGGTTATAAAAAAATCCAAAATAGATATAGTCTAAATGAGATATACAGATTATAAAAAATCCCAAAACCAACATTTACATGACATTTAAATTCAACTTAATTAATTCATCTTAATTAATTAATCTTAAGAGCTAATGAAGGCCATAAAGCTGATGGACCGCTGCTATATTTATACTTCTCGATTAAGTTATTAAAATTAAATTATATTATAAAAATTAAAAACGAAAATATTTTATTTCTGTGTTTATTTTAATTCTGAGGATGTAATAAATAAATTTTGCAATTTATAATTACGTGATCAAAGAATGGTTTTTTGATATAAAAAAGTTAACTTTTATATAAAATAAACTTATAAAAAATGTTAATAATTATTTTAATAAATTTTAATGTCTCTAATTAAAAAATATTTTTTTCATATAAGCTGTGATTTTAATTAACTTTTTAGTTAAGTTTTTAAAAACAAAAATATTTTATTTTTGTAATTTTAATGTTTATTTTCTAATAAAAAGAATTTTAATTTTATTTAAACAAGCTATAATTTATTAAACATATATTAAACATATATTATATAATTTATCAAATATATATTAAACATATATTTACTTAAATTGTTTATATTTTATTTTTATCCGCTCAGACTTTTAAATTAAACACATTAGTACGATAAAGGAAACACGGTACATTTTAGGAAATCCTGTGGACACAATTTATGCAACTAGAATTATACCATTATCCCAGAATTATATTGCATTATATTGCAGAAGTTTTAAATAAAACGTACCTGCAGAATATGCTGTTGTACAAAGAATTTCAGAAAATTATAGAATGCCATAAGGTCAAAGATAACTTCTAATTAATCTTTATCCCATTTTTGTTAAGTATTTGCAAATCATAAGAAAAAATTGAAAATTGGTCCAATAAACAATCTTCTCCTATTATTTCGAAAAATTACAATTTCCGTTACATTAGCATGGACAATTAAACCGGAGGTGATTTTGTTGCAACAAGTTGAAGATAAATCTTTTATTCTTTTATTCTACTATTCTATTTGATTTTTCGCGCTACATTATCTTGTATTGATTCCGGGAAAATAATTCTTCAGAGCAATCGCATGCAACACATTTCACGAAGTTTATCTTTTTGGACTCAGGAATTGACTTTCTGGGAAATTATCACTCTTCGAATTTCAATACTTTTGTTATGGAGATAGTGCGCGTTCTCCGATAAAAACATAAAGATGTAAAAAGAATAACGAAACTGATAAATATATAGGTTGAAGGAATTATCCGAGGATTATATAAGGGACAATAAACGAAAACTCTGCCTTCAAAATATAATATCCAAATTTATTGCTGTCGAAAGGAAAGCGCAACCTTATCTGAAACGTCAAACCTATGTGACTTACAATACGTGTCGTAAAAAAAAAAAGAAAAAATAAACAAAAATGGAAAACGCATCTCTCTCGAAGAACGCATAGAGGCACTACAACGAAGTCAATGCCGTGTGTAGGCACTGGAGGATTGAGAGAAAAAAATGTTATGCGTGTCGATAATAATTATGGAATGATTCTCGAGAAGCGATAAGGCAAGTGGATTATTCTTACAAGTAACTAAGAGCTCACGGAGAGGAGGTCGCGTTGAGAGTCGTGCGCTTCGGCTCACGCGAGTCCGTAATTCGATAATCGAGTAATAATCGACGCATGCGCGTCCATCACAAAATGTTGAATTTGCGGATTTCGCGAATCCGCCAATCACTTTCAACATTTCCGAACCCTTCGATCCTCGAGCGGCGCGAAACTAAACTCCATGGCGACCGGGTCGACTTGCTAATGGTCAATATCACGAAGAGAATTTGTTCCACACAGTGGGAAGATAAAAACGAAAAAACAGGAAAGATTTATTCTCGCATCGCGAATATCACACCTCACGATAGGTCGAAGCGCCACGAGCGTGACTCGATGAGTGAAAACGGCACGGTTTCGGTTCGTCGCGACGAGATGATGATGATTGATCGGAATCGGATGAGAATCGGAAAGTCATTAAGTATCTAACGCTGTGCTCTCCTAAGAAATCGTATAGAATCGCGACAGTGCGTCGGCTCGGGATCCCAAGTAAGAAGAACCCGCTATCACAGCGGCGTGCGTTTAACGCCTTGGATGACGGCCATGGCGCTCTCGATTATCCGATTATGTGCATTTTCAACTCGAATCAAGCACGGGTCGTCGAGTTTCACTAGGCGTTAAACGCGCGCCACGAAAACACAAACGGTTCTCGCATCTCGCCCGCGGTTATCGCGTAGCTGAAGTCTATGTGACGTGAAAATAATACGTTTCCGCCGGAGGGGAATAGATGGCGCGGTACGAAGTATAAAACTGTCCTCCTCGAAATTGCGCGAAAGAGTCTCCGGAAGAATTAGGTGATTCGCGACAACTGCGAACGCCTGTTGCAAAAAGTAACTTGGCCAGCCGAAATCTCATCGGAGGAATCAAAGAAGACCGCAAAGAGAAAAGCACGGAAACAATCATGAATTTTCGCCTCCAGTGCGAACTCGTAAAAAGTGAACATTTCCAAAAAATGCTTCTGAGTCAGAAAATGTTCACTCTTCCCGAGTTCACGTTAGAGAAGGAGACTCATGATCGGCCCCGGAAATGAGGATTGATCGATGTTTACATGAGAGAAAGAGAAAGAGAGAAAGCAGAATTGTATTCACCCTACTGCTATTTCGTCGATCCGCGAGTCGAGCTGAACGCAAGCGAGCGAGAACCATTTGCGGGGATCATGTGGGCTCGCTCGTCGACACGTGCGTGGGATATTTGAAAAGAATCGTCTTACACATAGACTTAGGCCCATATTTTGAATTCTCTTTCATCACTAAAAGTGACTCTAAAAGTGGCTTATAGCCAATTAGGAGGTTTATAAGCCACTTTTATAATCACTTTTAACGATAAAAGAGAGTTCAGAATATGAGCCATAGTATACCTAGAGTGCATGTTCGAGGAGTAGGGGTAGATAGCTCACGTAGAAAAAGATACACTCTGTTTTGTCTATACGTTCTTTCTCGCACACTCTCGATAGAAAGGGAATGGAGGAGGCAGTTGCTAACCTGTACGACAGTATAGCCGCTGTTTTTTTTATTTTTCTTTTTTATATAATGATCAACCCAGGTCATTGTGCTTTCAACCTTCGGCCTATCCGAGGTAGATACAGCCACTATACTGTTGTACAGGTTAACAATTGCCTCCCCTATTTCCCTTTCATCGAGAGTGTGCGAGAGAAAACGCACAGACAAAATAGAGTGCATTCTTTTCTAGTGAGCTCTACCCCCACCCTTGGAACTTGGGAGAACGCACAGTCTAGGTATGCTATGACTGCGTTCCGATATTTACTGCCAGCACTGAAATTCTATGGTATACGTGACATAAACTATGTATTTTCAGTACTTGCGATGAATTTCGGAACGCAGCCTATGTCTATGGTCTTACATACTAATAAGGCCCGTGTGCCGTCGATATTTACGTCTTCGTCCAACGCTGCGGCCGGCCGCGCGCGCAGTCGTTGACGGCTTATTTCCGCGAGCATCGATCCGAATCGACGCGGTCGGAATTCGGCCGATCGCTCTTAAGTCACTCTAAATGCATGGAACCGTGGAATACACACATTAACAATAAGATCAACTCGCTCGCTTATCACTGCGACAACATCGGCGCATGCGCGACGATGCGACCGGCACGTGCACAATGCCTGTTAAAAAGTCGAGTCAACACATCCTTGGTAAAACGCTCGAGGGTTGGGTTGCGGGGGCTTACCTTGGGTTTGATTGGGTTGAGATACGCTAAATGGTAAATATCGAACGCGAGAAGTGACAGCTCACTCGCTTTTTGGTGTGACGCCTCTGAAAATGATCGCGGATCACGGAGAGGCGTATCTCTCAGATGTTTTCTCGACTCTGCTGCGCGGCAGAATTGGATCTATCAGAATTGGATTTTCGAGCGCTCGCACCACTAATAAGCGACTCGGCTCCTCGAATCTCGGAATTATCGTTTCTGCGTCTCGATAATTCGAGTCGGAGAGTCGGTGGTCACCCCCCTCCCTTTCTCTCTCGAGGTCTACGAAGGCCCTCGAGAACTCCGAGATCCAATCGTCCGGCGAGATTCTCGCATCGTGAAAGTGAAGTCGTAATTTACGTGGAAATCTCACCCATAAAATAATGCGGCTATCGTTCATCGAAAGGAAAAAAAAGAGAGAGAGAGAGAGAGGACTCGAATCTCGTTGTTCGGCTCCCAATCACCAGAAAGAATTAATCCATTACTCCTTTCGCCCTCCGCGCTGCGCTTCCGGAAAAATCTTCTCACTTCTCACGGAGTAAACTAATCGCGCGTTGCGCGTTCCACTCGAGCAGGCTCTCCGGGTCGTCAGTAGGGAAAGGGAGGGGAGCCAAAGATGAAACTCGGACGAGAGTGTCACGCGAAAATGCTACGACTCTCGCGAGCCATTACTGCTATGCGAAAATCAAAGCAGAGGACGACGATAACGCACATGCGCGCGTGCACGCGTTATTAATTATTGGGCAGTCTCTGCACGTGCATGAGAAACACGAGAAGTAGCACTCGGTGTGCGGAGATCGACTTAAAATGCGACGTGAAGTTAACCGTACGTCAGAATAGAGACGCGAGAACACAATGTGTCGCACACAACCTCTTTAATCTAACAAAGACTGGCGTCTCTTCCACTCTCTTGCGGTAACGGCGCGTGAGAAGCCCGTTATTTATAACGTGCTCCTCTTGTTGTCACCGCGCGGACATTTAGATAACTACTTGATCACTCGTGATCGATCTTCTTCAGCTACTTCTTCAACTACTTAATCACTTAAGTTTCTCCGCATGACGACACGCGCACGACGTGTGCACCACGATGTACGTGCGAAATATGAACAGAGCATAATGTAACGTAACGTGACATGACGGTGTCATTCCGAAACACCTCGTGTCGCAAAAGTCTGGCCGCGCGAGCAGTCGAAAGGTCGCAGACAGCTCGGACTTCAGTCTCGCCCGCGTTCCTGCGGAATTTCAGTCTTAATCGCACGCATCGCAAGCAAAGGGAAATTCAAAGTCTCTCTTGTGCGCGGCTTATTGGCGAATAATCGTGTGGATACGCGTAGTCTGCCGATAACTAAAAAAGAAACAAAGGCGACGTCGTGAAGTGTAAGTAAGAGGAATTGAACATTCCTTTCATCCGAATGCAGCTCGGGACGCAGCCGATGAGAGAGCTCGAAGAATTTTCAGAAGTTTTCTCAACGGACATTTGCTTCTTTCTAAACTGTGTAAAAAAAGGGTAAATATTAATATCAGTGACGACCTCATCGATTTCAATGACCTTGACTATGCTGTCAAGGACATGATTCTGATTAGGGTATAAAAAGTTTTAGCCGTCGCTCATTGTTTATTAGAAAGTTATCGATAAAAAAAAGTTTCTTGAAAAGAGAACGAAAAAGGCACGTTTCATGAATATTTTTTCGTGCCCATTAAAAAGAAAGAAGAAACCCTTAGCTCAACTTAATCTAACTTGATTTATACGTCTTTGCATATGATTGGGCGTTTTGGGTTTTAAGGGAACCTCTTCAACAACGCCTGATTATACACAAAAATGTACAATTTGAGTTGGGCTAAGTTTTTTCGGAATGGAGGTGCAGGAAGAGAAGTGAAGCCCTCTCTCCCGCTTCTATGTACCGTTTTAATATTATTTAATATATACTGTGTCAGAAAAGTATTTATGAAATTTCTATTTATGAAACTTCTTTTGTTCAGAACTTTTTGATAAACAATGAGAACAACTCTTTGCGAGTTAATCAAAGTCATGCCCTTGAAAACATATGTCAAGATCATTGAAATCGGTGAGGTAGTCATCAATATAAATATTTACTGAAAAGGAAAAAAAAACGCTCAAACCATTTTGAAGCATTGCGCACTCGTTTGCAAGACGATTGAACACATCTTTCTCGATGAATTTAGGAACACATCAAATGGTCACAGTTATGAGCCATTACTGATCTGTCATGGCGGAAGTCGAAGTGACAATATATTTTCTCTCTTCGACGTCGAGAATTTTACTACATTTTGACCTATCAAATAAAAGTAAACAGGTGCTCGCAACTGAGATTATTCGATGCGCGCTTCCAACCTCAGTGAAAAAAAATATATATACGCTCAAATCACACCGCGAGAAACGAGTAAACACGAAAAGTCGTGGCGTACCTGAAGCGGACTCGAGGTCTCGCGGATTTATGAAAACACTCCCACGCGTTTTCCACAACATGATGACTGCGACAAAATATACGAGCGCGCGCGCACGTGTGCACAACGATCATCGATTGCAATGTCGGTGGTGTGTGTACTTTGCTCCACGTCGACGGGAAGAATCGCGGCGAATCCCGATATTGACTGTGCGAGACTACCAAGCGAGAACGCCAGTTCGTCGGTCTGTGAGCTCGTTGACGGCGGGAGAGAGGGGGAGGGGAAGTTCGATCCGAGATCGTAGATTTACCCCTGAGGAATTTAAGTAATTCGAGCAATTTTCTTCCCCGAGGACAAACTCTCGGATAAGGAGACCCATGTAAGGGCTCGGGGGAGTCCTTAAGTTTTGCGTAATTCGCAATCGCGAAAGTCGCCGAGGTCAGAAAGTCTTGGGAGGTCTCTGAGCTGTTAAACTACAATTCAATACCGCGGGAAAGCACTCTCGAAAATGCGAGAGCCTCGCGAGATTTCATTTCCAGACAGCTGCGAAAGGACTCACGACCGCTATCACTTTTCTTGCCGTCAAAACTTTCGAGTCGCACGAAACAGCTGTCACTCGAGGTCGTTAATCGACCTTGACGGCGACCCTGACAAAGTTCACGGAGTGAACCTGACCTGCGAGTCTTCAGGGATTCGGTCCCGATCGTCGCGCGGGCAAATGTTGCTCCACAAATCGCGGGGGCGACAGCTTAGCTGCGGGGTGTTGAGACGCGAGACACGAGAACGAACGACACAGTCCCTAAAATTCGACGGAAGACACTCCGCGCGATCGATCGTTTTCGGCTTCCTCGGCGGCGGCGAATCGAGTCGTTCTCGAATTTATCCTCGGATGAGATCGTACAGAAGATTAGAAAGTTTCGTTCGAGTCAAGTACTTGTAGGAGAAGGGAGACCGACAGATAAAAACACTCTCAGGGACGAGTGAAAAGAGCGTGACGCAGAGCGGGATTTCCGTCGATGTGTGTCCCGGCTGGCTTAAATTCTAACATCCTTTCGTTGTCCTGGGACACATACGTAGAACAGTCTGCCCGCCGCGCTCATCTGAGTGTCAAGGTTCAAATCTTAAGCAGGGTATTGTAGAGGAAAATCCACTTCCCAGTGTCGGTCGTGTGCACGAGCTTGTATCGTCGGCTGGTCATCTTGTCGATGAAGCTCTTTGTCTCCGTTTCACTGTGATGAGGGCTCCAGCGTATCGACAGGACCGATATTCTTATGATGTCCCAAGGGATGGTGTCGAGCACCTGCGATAATTTCCAATCGCTCTTACGACAAGCCACGACCGTTCATTACGGGGTATTTTTATAACGCTCGCGATCGATCAGCGCTGTATTTTCAAGATATGCTTTTCGTGCTGAATTGTTATTTTACGGTCGTGCTGCGACAGAGAGAGCCAACATAAATTCCACATGTCGGGCGAGCGCGTAACAGATTTAAAAACCCGAAACGGTCGCGTGAAAAACCGCTTGTCTCTTCTCGGGTAACAGTCGAAACGCGCGCGAACGAGATAGGCGGGATAAAACATGCGAATAAATCCATGGAGGAAATAAATCGAAAATAATTCGATACTCGCGCTACACTCGCGGACAAATAAATAACTGCGCGAATCACGCGCGCACGAGATCGCGTTGCTGCATCAGCAGGCAAAATGTGAAATTATTCACTTTTTCGCATCGTTACCTGGCCGTCGGGAGCGTCGGGGCTGTCCAGACTCAGGTAGTCCAACGTCGTGGCGTTGTACGCCAACAGCACGCTGTACAGCGGGAAACACTTGAGTCTGGTGGTGGGCAAGCTGTCGTCGGACGGCACGAGACTGTTAGGACCGTCACCCAATTTCGTCACCTGCACCTCCGACTCTTGGTGATATTTGATCTGCAATTTCGCGGGCGTTTCGTGATGAGAGGCACGCACGTGCACGCGATGCATTGACGAGTTCGAGTGCAGGGTGAGTTTTTTACTTCAGCACAAATCCAACGCATTTTCATCGAACAAATGACAATATGACGTCTCCGATCGATGTTTGATGGCATGTTTTCGAAAATGGTTTGACGAATGGATTCAACTGAAGTCGATAATAAGTGTGTATACATGATCAAAGTCGGTAAACATCGACAATTTAATATTTATATGCACATGATTTTTTGATACAATGTTATTAATTTTTTAAGCGTTTTACAAGCACACGTTTAACTGTCACTGTCGTTGGTTATTAAAGATGAAGTATCAAGAAAAAAATCAGAAGAAGACTCATCTTTACATATTTTTTTAATCAGATTACAATTTAGTAGTGTTTACATGTCAATAATCACACATAACCATTAACATTTTTAGGTTAGAAAATTACATCCACCATATTCAATCAGAAATGTCATCAGTCCATCGGCAAAATGAGTCGATGAATTTGATGGATGACTTCAACGATGTAAATAAAAACACATCGATGTAATTCATCTATGTGTTTTTATTTACATCGCTGAATGAAAGAACGTTTCGCTGCATTTGCGCTTCATGCGACGGATCAATCGATGATTTAAAAAGCTCACCCAAATTACGTTTCTACGTCGCTCATATTTAAGATTGCCAGATTTGCAAGTTGGTAGGAGAGGACAGTTAAAAATTCTGATGAGCAAAATAAGAAAAAGGTAGAAAAGTTATCAGGTGGAATGTATCTGTCATCTTTCCAATTTAACATCAATTTTCAGCTGTATATACAGGGTGTCCCATTTTTACTTAGACATATTTCGAAATATTTCAAAAACAATGCATTTTCGAAAAAAACATTTCAAATAAAAGTTGTAGGGTTTAAAGGAGGCCGTTAGATGAGCTAGAATTTAAATTTTTGGCCCGGGACCCATTTTAAGCTCAATAAGGCCCAAGTTGATTTTTTTCAATGGAAATACCCAATTTTTAATGCAGATGCGTATTCTATGAAGAAAAGTAAGGAAATTTTGTTACTGGTAATTTTTCGCTAAACTTTCTCCAACAGACGCAAAATAATGCTCGAAGTTCTTATTTTGAAACACACTCCAGCCAATGAAGGCAAGACAATGGCCGATGTGTCCTTGGAGGGAACATTGGTAGATTTCTAAAAGATAAGTTTATTCCTTCATTGTCAATAACACTCATTACTAATATGCGAATGTTCTATTTACGTATCATCGTCCATCGGTCTTGCTTTCATTGGGTGGAATGTGTTTCAAAATAAGAACTTTGAGCGACTACTTTGGAAGAAGTTTAGTAAAAAATTACAAAGAACAAAATTTCCTTCTTTTTTTCCATACAATATCAACCTGAGTCGAAGCCAAAATTTAAACAGGTCATCTGATGACCCCCTTCAAATCCAATAACTTTTATTTGAAACATTTTTTTCGAAAATGCATTGTTTTCGATATCTAAGATATTTCGATATCTAAGTTAAAATGGGACATTCTATAGATATAACAAAAATGTCACCAGATAGTGACTGTAATAAATCACTATGGCAGCGCATCTGATAAGCAAAAGAAAAACTCCTTCACGCAAAAAAATGATTTAGCGAAATTAGCCAAATGTCGGTAGCTATTTCGAACTTAGTTGAAAGACTAACTGTTATGTTTACCGTCATTGCTAAAAATTAGTGACCAGAGGTAAAATGTATTTACAAAGTACAATTTACTACAAAGTACACTTTATTACAAAGTACACTTTAACTTTTTTATTTGAAATCAAAAGCACATCTTAGCATGAGTAGCTAAGAAAGTTGCAGTTATTGATAAATATAATGCGCGCGTGAATCTCGAGGTTCGGACTACAATTGTTTCTGGGACATTGCTATATGTATGATTTTGGCGCGCATAGCTTTCACGGTTAATCTTTCGTTGGCTCTGAGGCCGATGGATGTGATTTTTGTCAAACGAAACTACGCATAATTTTTATCGCTTTCATTTATGTGTGTATTATAGCCAATGTACAGGATATTTGATAACTAATGACTCTATCAAATAAAAGTTAAAACGGGTTAGAATTAAAGAAAAAGCCATATAATATGTTTAGAAAATCGCGATAGTTATTAAATTATTACTGATTGAAAATGGCCATACTTAGAAGCCATATCAATCTATAATAACTTAATAACTTAGTAACTATTGCGAGTTTTGAAAAATACATGACATTTTCCTTTCTTTCAACCTGCCCTTATTTTGTAAAGTTATAAGTTACCAAACATTCTGTACAACATTGCTTCCACGACAAAATTGATGGTTAAAGCAGCTAAAACCACTTGGCATGAATAACGAAGAATATATAATTTTTGTTAAGATTCTTAGCCTTACTGCAAATATTATTACGTGCTATTGCGAAGAATATGGTAGCATAGTGGGTTCAGCTACATGTCGTTTATTTTTAGCAGCTAATATTTCTTACTACAACAAATAAGTTTGAAGAGCTAATAAATTTAGATTTGATAGCAATGACATTAGCTGTCCCTATTTCAAAGACACATCTTAGCTACCACAGCTATATTTTAGCTCCTTCGGCTAATCCTTTTTCTGCGTGTTCGATGCGGTATGGAAGGACAAATAACATCCTTGTCAGGACATAAAAATTTTGGCTAGAAAGGACAATCCCTCCTTCCCACAGAGGAGGACAACCCCGTCTGGCAACCGTATTCATATACCTCTTTGGTATCCTTGTCCGTGCTAAGACATGCGTGAAGGACCCTGGTCCGCGGGTTCCTGGTACTCCGTTGCGCCTCGAAGAAGCTCTTAGGCTCGGTGAGTATCAGGACACCGCGCCAGCTTAGGTTGGCCTCCAGCCAAGCGGTGCTGGAGATCGCGCCTATCTGAAAGAACGATGGCGACCGTAGTCGGTGACAGATTTACGAGTCCGGCTCGTGCGATCGTGATAGGAATCGCCAGATAAATCGAGTGCATCTCCGCGGCCTAATTTTCTTGCTCGTCGCCAATAACGTCGAGATAAATCAGCGAGTGGGAAGATACGGCACGCATCTCTCCGTCTATCCTCCTCCTTCGCCACTCTGTATTTTTAACTCGCGTGTCGGCGGCAATTTGCTAGTTTTGCGTGCGCGGTGCCTTCGCCGGTATTACGTCGCGCTATCGTGAGCGATGAAGAATCGTTAGCGCAATCATGCGATATCTAATTCAGGCTTTTAAAGCTATTGAAGCCTCGTCGCTGACACACTTCGGTCTGATCTGAAATCCCGAGCTTCACGAGCCGCGCAAACGAGGGAACGTGCGATAAAGTGTGCGCCGGAAGAGAACCGACTCGAAATCGTTATCGGAAGCCATGCTCACAACTCTGATAACGCGCGCGCATAAATTCCGTTTCTACAAAGAGCGAAATTGTCTGGAAGAAACGTTAATCCTCTAATCGCAGAAAGTTACGGCGAATAATTTACGTGGCTGAACATTTTCGCGCTTAATTGCGCGCGCGCGCAGCCATTAACGGCGCGAGTTTTCTTTTCTTGCGAGAAACGGCCGGTAAAACATACAAATTCCACGCAAAGTGTAATTACCCAGAAAAGTTTATTTTTCTTTCCCTTTTTTTCTACGTGGACGAAATTACCGGATAAAAATTGGCACCGTTGAAAGTTGAACCGCGTGCGGCGTAATGACGGCGAATTTTTCTCCAAAAGGGGGAAGCGCTTCGCGTTTCGACGTTTCTGTCTGCTGAGGATTTTCACGCACCCTATATATGACAATACAAATCGCTCTCGCTGGCCGGCTACGAAATGTGCGGGTTACGCGAATAAAGAGAAATTACATCGCCAGCGCGAAAGAGATGGAGTCTCCAATGTGCGAAAAACAGGGACGCCGCCGCGCGGGACATTAATCATAGCAGCGAATTAAAACGGAAGAGAGTCTCTCACCCTGCTGATGTACTCCGCATAGACGCCCTCGCGCTTGCTCTGCGACAAAGTGGCCACGTACTTCTCCTCCGACGTCTGGGTGGCGTTCAGCGGGTCCTGGTGCGTCGTGCTTTTCAGCTGCACCTGCCGTATGTAAGCGACCAATTGCGGATTGTCCATCGAGACACTGTCGAGCACGTAGTCCCTGGTCATGTTCGCATCAAACGCCTGCCTCCTGGTAACGGAACGTCGGCTTTAAACCACACCACCAGTGGTATTCAACCTCTTCCCATCGTCATGCCTCTAATCCGAGGCTCGATCGTGTAATCCTCCCGTGGGAACAAAGGGAGCAGGAGGAAAAAGAACAGACAGGTGCAAATGTTCGCACGAATTGGCCGAGCGCGAAATCGCGTCCCGCTCTCGCGGGTCCGCGAGGGAACCACGAGACCCTCTCCGCCGGGCTGGGAAATTTGACTCGACTGAACAAAACGGGACTTGAAATAATTGAAAGCGAAGGTATTCAGCGACTATTACAACCGTACAATTCGTTTGGCCGATGCACGATTGAGCGAACGTATGTTTCTTCAGCGTCGAATTCCCTGCAAAAAGCTGAAGCGGACGTTCTGGTGTTGTGCTATCGAGAGTGCCGATCGCGTGAATTGCGCCGTTGTACTCGCAATTTCCTTCGTCAAAACGCGAGAAAATATCGAATAATCACGCAGACCGCCCGGAGGATCTCTCGCATTCCTTATCGGGACATACACTTAAATATGTATAAAGTTATGTGACTTCGAAGCTATACTGATACATCGATATCCTTGACTTAAATTATAAATTAAAGTGTTTTAAAAAATGGTTCATGACTTAAGAGTGGATAGTGCTCACAAAATAGAGGAAAAGTGCTGACAAACATGGGTGGAAAAATTAATATTGTCGGAGTTAAAAACAATTATTTATCTTAATTAAAAAAAGCGACTACTCGCTTCTTACAAAGTTTACAGATTTTCTACATGTCCTTCTGCTTCTGTTTCTGCACACGCTTCACATCTTCGTAGAATTGCGGAGTCTTTCAAAAATTCCCAGCTTTCTCCCAACTATTTGACAGGTATTTTGTATTCTCTGATATAATTCGTTTATGTCATCCATCAATGAAGAGTATGCTCTTAGGAAATGTCCATAAAAAAGGTCCAGGGGATTTAAATCAGAAGAACCAGGAAGCCATGAGACTAATCAACCCCGTCCAATCTATCCTTCACCGCAGAACCTATTTAAATGTAGCCAAACGCTGAGTGCAAAATGAGCTGAAGCTCCATCGTGCATAAACCACAGCCGGATTTAATTAAACAACTTGCTTAAATTAAAATAAATAATTGTTTATAACTCCGACGATATTAATTTTTCGACCCATGTTTATGAGGATCTTTTTCTTCCATTTTGCGCATTAAAGGGGAAGGTGGTATTATGGCTCTTGTAGGCCAATTACATTATGGCCGCTCTCAATATCTTTGTTACTAGGTAACGAATTTCAGTCATTACTTATGGAATCATTTGTTTAGTAGTTCGCCGTTAGCGCAATGACGCTAATATATCAATATGCAGTATATAGTTAGCACTTTTTATAACGCATTTTTACTTTCGAGTATTTCGAAATATTTTTCAAGATATATTTCAGCATTCGATTAGACATGTTTCCTCATTATTTTTAAACTTGAGCGTATTATCACACGAATATATGCACAATTGAGTATTTTATTTGTTACTTGACATTTTACTCGGCTGTGCATCTTTCAAGTTACTAGAGATGTGCGAACTATCCGAATTCGAATCCCTATGATTCGAATCCGAATAGGAATCAAATACATTATCGTTTGCATGCATCAGCTACAAAACGGGCCATTTGAGCCTGTGTATGTTGAACCCTCAACTTATAATTAACTTAACTTATAATTAATAACTTAATTATAAATTACTTTAATTTTTTAAATATATATTTTACTTTAAGATGATATTACATTAATATCAATAATTCCCTTTCATATTAAAATCTTCCATCGTTATTTTTGCATGTTTAATAGTCATGTTAAATATTTTAATGATTCGAATTCGATTCGAATTCGAATTTAAAAAATGATACTCGATTCGATTCGATTCGACATAAAAATTCTTGATTCGCACATCTCTACAAGTTACGCAAAGAAATAAACGAAATAGAAAAATGACATTTTGCTATTGTGGCCCCATAAGAGTGCTGATAAATATTGTCTCTTTTTCGAGGTTTTCATACCAAAATAATTATTTGACAAATCGATTCTAATCTGTAGTCCACTATTGCACTCATGTTTGCACTACACTGCTGTCTTTCTGGCAGCTTGTGTTTCCTAGCAAGTAAGTTAATTCCACATTAAAAATTCCATTTAAAAAATTCGCAGTTATCTTCATTATTATTCTCCTTCTAAGAGTTTAATTTGAATAAATATATAATTTCATAACTAAACACTTTGTGTTATTTTAAACAAAATCAATATTTTGTATCAGTTTTAGTGGGAAGCCATATTCACTTCATTTGCTCGCCGACTCACTATGCTGTGTTGCCACATTTTTATAAATAACATCCTAAATATAAACATTACATAAATTTGAGTCTATAATCGATTAAGGAATACTGTGACAAATATGATCATTCAGTTCTCACTTTAAAATATTAATTGCTGACATAGTTATTATATTGTACAATACAAAAAGTAAAAGGAGGGCCATATAATACCAGCTTCTCCTCTATCTATTCTCAAAGTCATAAACTCTTTTCTTTTTTAAACACCTTGTATATGCAAATATAGATATTGCACATTCCTGTAACTACAAAGTTACAAACCGTTTTTTTCTAGAATAAAATTTTTGAAGATTGTAAATTAATTATTAATTTATACCTGGAAGTTAATACTTACTAGGTTTCACGTTACACAATGTTTTTTATACTCACGAAAAGAAATTGAGTTATAGAGGGTTAACTTTTATCGCGACTCGAGGATTGATAAGACTGAGTAGAGTATCACCTCAGTGCCGCAGCCTCGCTCCAAACGAGGAGCAGAGCCATGGCGATGGAGAAGGCTCCGAGGAAGGCCAAGCAGGGGGCCAATCCTTTCCACCAGGTTCTTTTATAGCTGGCCAACGACGATCCGGCCATGACGGAGCCTATAGGCGGTGGCAGAACTCCGTTCGACGGGGGCGCTCCTGCGGGAGCCATTCTGCGGGAACAGAATAAACGCGTAAACATGAGTTCCATGCAAATCGCGGGAGTCGGACGCGATGGCGAATTTCGTTTCCAACAAGTTTTCGATGCGTCGCGCGTCGCGCGTCCCATATGACGAAGGTGTTTTCAAGCTGAGCGTTACGATCAATTAAAAGTTTGCTGAACTAAAATAATCGATAAATCGAGCATCAAAATTAATCAATAGTCATGTATGCAATCATGAATAATTTATAAAATCGTTCGGTAAGATTAATTATTCAGCAGATCAGTATAAACGATCACGTCGAAATGAAGATACCATCATTATTTTAGTCAACAGAATTTAGTTGTTCAATCGATTAACGTCCAATGCTGCTTGAATAAGTAAATCAATTAAGAGCTCAGTTGACCAAAATAGATCGGGAATCAAAATTAATCAGTATTATATGCAACTATGAATAATGTATAATCGGTCTCGGTGAGATTAATTATTCAGCAGTGTATAAATTTGATTGTTTTGGTCAACAAAATTTAGCTCCTCAATCGGTTAACGCCCAACGCCGTGATATTTGAATAAATCGTCGAACGGTTTCTCAGTTATCTCGAGGAAACGAGAGGATGAGGGAAAAAATCAAGATATTTCAATGAAAATTAACGAGTCTCGCCGAGATTGAGTATTACTTTAATCACCGCGACTTAATTACCGCGACTGATAAAAACCAGCGTTTCGCAATTGACTTACACGGCGCGGAGTTGTATACGGAAGAATTTTTATTGAGGCCGCTGAGAGAGAAGGAAAAAATTTAATTTAAAGTTTTATATACGCTCGGCAAAATTAAAAAAAAATTCGCGAAAAATAACAGCTCCTGCGCCCAATATCTCGCCGGGGAGGCGAATCGACGTGGCTCGCACGCTGGGGAATCCGTAATCGAGAAGAAGTATATAGAGGTGTTCTGGGACACCCTGTGCAATAAGGCATGGAGGTGTACGCATGAGTCACCTTGCACTTTCTAACCAGCATTTTTTCTCAGTTACGCGGTTCACGCGAATGCATACGTGAAGGATTCGACACAAAGGAAGACCCTTGCGGGAAGATCGTCACTATAACTATTCCGCAGGACGAACATTTCTCTCTCGCGTGTCGCCCAAAATATTCTCCTTTTCTTTAGTCTCGCGGCCCAAGATATTTTTATTCCTGATTATCAATCAGTAAACGGCGCACGACCTCGAGGAGGATTCCAATTCACACAATGGAGAGAGATAGTCGGTTTGATTGATCGACCTCAGGGAGGAAAAGAGGAAAGGAGTGTGTGATAGTCTCAGAAAAATTTATAAAAATAGTTTCCCATCGCGCGGGGCAGGCAGCGGATCGCGTGCGTCACGCTGTGCGGAATAATTCCGTTATTTGTCTTGCGCTGTTAAAGAGCATGGTTCGCTCCGCCATACAAGCGTAAACTTTGCGCGCTTGGAGAAGCGTCCGCTGGGTTCGTCGCGGTGTATTCAGCGGCAACTTTTAGCGGATGCAAACCGAGACGAATGCTCGCCGTCGAATTTGCCTGTCGAAGTTGAGACAAACCTTGTTCTCCAAAGCCTCTCTCCAGTGCGGAAAATATTTCGCGACTGTACCCCGCACACACTCGAGGATACGTTTACCCGCGCATTTCCCGATCAATGTGAAGCCGCCCGTCCTCTAACGAAAATCTCGAGATGTATCAACAGGTTCCGATCCGCAGTCGACGAAAAGGAGGAGAAACTTTTCGCGAATCTTTTTCCATTCGTCGCGCGCATGATAATCGAGCCGCGCCGCCTTTCCTCCTCACGCCTTCACTTCTTGCGCTCATAAATGTCACTTGAGGTTAACTTAAACCGAATTTGAGGGATTTTAAGATAATTGAACGAGTTTCGCGGAGATTCATGGAAACTTGTACAATCTTGATATCACAATATTATTTAATTATTCGTGCAAAATTAAGAAATAAAATTAACCACTCGAGAATCGAGATATATTTGCAATCAGGATGGGAAAGTACTTGTTGCTACTGTATTCGTTATTTGTAACAAAGTTACAGTTACAATTACAGTTATTTCTTTCAGTAATTCTAACTTTATTTTATTCCTTTCCCACCATCATTAACTGTAATTTAAGTTTAAGTTCAGTTAAGTTTAGTTACATTTTTTTGTAATTAATAATTATAATAATAATTACAAAAATAATTATAATTTAATAATTATTTTATAACTGTATGCATTATAACTGTATTTAATAGTTACTTTATAACTGTATAACATAATCAAGTATACAATATATAATAAATTAATAACTTGAAATGTAAGATTTTTATATTTAATTAAATTTTGTATTTAAAATAATAGTGCACAATCCTTACAAGAAAATAACTGGAAAGTAACGACTCCTTACTTATTGAGTAACTTATACAGCTATAACAAATTATTTTTCAGAATTGGTAATTTGTAACTGTAACTCTAGTTACTTTTTCAGTAATGAGAAAACTGTAACTGTAACTGTAACTAGATACTTTTACAAGGTAACTTTCCCAAACCTTGCAATTAAAGTTGACTTAAACATTTTCAAATTCTATTTGAGTTATGAATGAATCGGGAAAGTCTCACGAGTACATCAAGTGTTATATTGTATGATTTTTCCCTTACTTATACAGGATGGCCTACATAAAGTGTGACAATTCAGAAACTCTAAAAATTTGTCGTATTAAAAAATTGTTCATAACAAAGTTTCATGTATTCGAGAGGTCTTTCTAACTATATAAATAAACTATATAAACTATATAAAAAGTCTAACTCTAAACAACATTTCTGGGATAATGCTAGCGCAAGCTTCACGTATTCTTCGTTTTAAATCTTCTTTTGTCATAAGTGGTTGAAATCTTTGATATATGCTCATAAAAAATAGTTCAATGAACGAGGTGGCCATTGAATAGGACCGACTTATCCATTTGTCACCAAATACTTCCAAAAACTATTTTTATGGGGATATATCAAAGAAAAATGTTTCCACCACTTACGATAAAAGAAGATTTAAAACAGAGAGAATACGTCAAGCTTGCGCTAGCGTGACCCCAGAAATGTTGTTTGGAGTTAAACAAAATTTTGTAAAAAATATTAATAAGTGTTTCAATGTGAATGGTCAACGTTCAAACATTTAATAAAGTAAAAAATGTGAGAAACTATGTAGCCTTTTATTTAATTTATGGTTTTATCACTTTTGTTTGAATGCACTTTACTGCAAAGAATAAATGTTTATAACTTTTGATAGAATTTCCTAAAGAAATGTTCCAGATAAAGTTTACTTGTTTCTTCCCATAGAGTCGAAATATGTAACATTTTACAGAAGGTCCCATTTGAAATTACAAAGTTACCCCCCACCCTCCCCTTCAGAGCAAAGCGAGGGCGGACTTTTGTTTATATAGTTAGAAAGACTTCTCGAATACATTGAAACTTTGTCATGAACAATTTTTTGACAAATATTTTAGAGTTTTTGGGTTGTCACACTTTACGTGGGTCACTCTATATATGTATAAGGTTGAAAATCGTATGGAATCCTAAAAACAAGTCAGATAGCACTCGTCCTGAGATTATTCTAGATACACGCAGGTCATCTTTAGATAGTCCTTGGGTACATCTTGGACGTGACTAGGATGATTTTGAGACATCTCATGCTATTTGAGAAGTGTTACTACATATATGACACATGATATATGATACATATGCCAGGTGTGCACCGTGGGACATCCTGCGCGACTCAACTCAGATTAGGGTTGCCAGATGTCCTCTTCTGGGAAGGATTATCTTTCTTTCTGGCTAAAATTTGCTAAAATTTTCATGTCCTGCCAAAGACGCTATTTGTCCTAGTTGGTTACTACACGAAAGCAATTTTTGTTTGTTTGTCAGATGTCTCATAGTGACTTATCATAGTCACTATCTAATAACATTTGTCAATATATTTCTATCAATTATGCAGGGTGAATCTTTTTAATCTTAACAGGCAAATATTTCGAAAATGTATAATTTTACTAAACAATGTTTCAAATAAAAGTTGTATAGTCCAAAGAAGGGCGTATAATGGTGTCCTTGGTTTGACTTTGAAACATATATTTAAGGTCAGATGGAGGTCAATTTAATTTTTTCAAATGGAAATCCAAATTTTTTATTATATCTTCTTTTTCTACCTATTTTTATTATATCTTCTTTTTCTACTTACCAATTAATTTTAACGACTTTTGTCTGAAACATTTTTTTATTTATTTAATATTTTTGAGATATTAAAGAAAAATTTGGTAATTTTTTTAGTGTTTAACTTTCGATATCTCGTTAACTCCGACTATTTGTCGGAAGAAAAAACAGTACTAGACTTTTTTATTTTACTTGGTCTCAAGAATATATTAAATATATAGCGTCCTGACTTTTATTAATTTGATGGTTTCGAAATTTCCAAAAGTCGATAACTTAATAAAAGTTAGGGCATTATTGTAACAATATATATATATATATAATTATATTATTAATAATGTATCATAAATATCATATATATACAGAGTGTCCAATTTTAATCTATCACCTCTCGTAATTCTGTAGGGAGCAGTCGTAGAGAAAAATATTTCAGACAAAAGTTGTATGATTTTGGGGGACATAAAACAACTACATCAGTTTGTTTACAAATGGCGCCACTTTCGAGATATTCACTGATCATTACTTTTCTTAAATGAAAATCCCAACTTTTGATTATATCATCTTTTTCTACTAATTAATTTGGACAACTTTTGTCTGAAACATTTTTTTATTGTTTTTGTTGCCCAACGTTTTTGAGATATTTAAGGAAAATTTGGTAACTTTTTCAATATGTAACTTACGATATTTCGCTATTTGTTGGGAGAAAAAATAGTATTAGATAGAATATATCAAATACATATTTGAAATGTATAATATATGCAATCGAAAATTGACGTTCGAAAAGATTCTTACTGAAAATTTTTATTCAGATCTAAAATGAGATTTCCGAAAAATTTCCTACGCAAAATCTCAATTACTTCATATGATATCTCAATTGAGACATCGTATAAAAAAGTAAATAGTAATATTTAAATTATGATATAATGTGAAAAATAAAAGTTCTTCCATTTAAAAAATTTTTTAATTATATTTTATATCTTATTATAGTAACTCGATATTTATAATATAAATTTTTGAAAAAGAAAAGTTTTTCTGTTTTTCATATGATATTCCAATTCAAATATCATTACTTATTTTTTCATATGATATATGATATTTCAGTTAAAATATTATATAGGAAATTTTTCAGAAATCTCTAGAGCTCAATAGAAGTTTTTCATCAAGAATAACAGGTCCGATGATTATTCCTTTCTCACTAAAATTTTCAGCCGCCCATCCTTGTCGATTTACAAATCTGGCAACTCTGATTCAAATTCTGTCCGCAACTACATCTTTGCGTCGCGATTCTATCCCGGCGGAGTCTACTCACTTCGCTTTCACCGGCTCCATGGTGACTCGCGTTCTCCCTTGTTCGTGAAATCGAAGCTACTTCAGCGAGGCGCGCGTGTCCTGTGCGCGGGACCATTTATATCCTCAGTAGGGCGTCGCGACGCACTTTGCTCACGTGCAGAAGCTCGTCATCCCTGGCACGGCGACGCGCACGTGACTCTTCCCGGATGCACGTGGTCGGGGTGAAATTGAAAAGCTGGATTCGCGACACTGGACGTAGCCGTTCAATCGACACTCTGTGACCAGCAATTGTTATCACCGTGTCACACACACACCTACACATATGATCGCCTACATACACAGCACGCGTACATACACAGTGGATTGCGTCTGTGACTGTCAACGCGCGTTCACAATCGTCGGTTCACAAATGTCGCGAGCTCAGTTGATAGAAACAGTCGCCTCTCGCGATGTGTTGCCAGCGACTCGACCTTCTCGCGTGTGTTGTCGCCAGTGTTGTGTGTTGTGTATGCCGCTCTATCGAGTCAATGAGACGGTCCGTGGCGGTTTGTCGCTCTCCGCGCGCTCGTTCCGCTTTCCCCACGGCGACGACGACGACGACGACGACGACGACGCTGCGGGAAGAAAACGCGCGACGAGTACCAGTGTGAACGATCGGTCAAGGGACAAAGCTCGGTTCCCCGTTTCTTCTTTGTCTTCCGGAATCGTTCGTCGTGCGGGAATGTACGTGACACCGGTTGAACGTCCGCCGAAGTCTCGCTCAAGCTGTCATTCGTTGCATTCAGCGAGACAAAGCGATCAGTGAATGAGCTGTCGGCGGTAATTGGTTCTTACTACTGGATCCCTAAATTCAAACCAGTTACTTCGACCAAGTAGCCAACCGTTGTGTTCACTGGGCGCACCCAGTCGACGCGATGGGCTTTCCCGCGGAAACGTTCCCAGAGTGCCTTCGCGCCCGGATCCATTCGAGACTTATCGAACATCGATTTTGCACATCGCGCTCTCGGGACGTTCAAGATGACGTTGTCTCCCGTGGACTTTCTCAAAGCGATTCGCCCCGCAATATTTTCCAAAGCGGAGATTTACGGATCCTCGAGGATTACAGTTAGCGGAATCCCTCTCGTGATAATTCCACACAGGCTTCTCGTGAAAGAGTTCAAGCTTGCGAGGGGGGGGCGATCAGCCTAATTGGTTCTTGAGTTTTCCTCGGACGCAGAATCGCAAATGCCTCGAGGATTATTCACCGGCCAGTCCCTTCTGGCGTTTCGCTCTTCCACGCGCCTTCTCTTCCTTTTTCTCCTTTCACGGCTGGTGCCCCCCTCAGGATTCTCGTCGTGCTTCTCGATGCGCTCCAGCTGAATTTTTATAGAACCCCGAGCCCTCATAGAGAGCGCGGCACTGTTCGCCCCGACGGTCCTTCTTCGAACTTTTGTCCTTATTTTGCTATGCTCGTTACAGGCATGCAGCGAAGATGATCGCGTGTTGCTCGGCGTGACGAAGATCCCTCGAGGGATCAGCGCTCTCGGGCTCGAGCTTTCCCGTGTATTTCCCGCCGGCCCGGGCGCCCTTTTGTGTCTGCAACAACAAAGAAAAATCGATCCCTAACAATCGGCCCCGTTCGAGAAGGAACACTTGAGTGAGTCACGCGAGGCGCGCACCCCGAAAATTCCCCGAGCGTTCTCCTCGCTGCCGCCGCATCGCCACGGACCTTCCCTTTTGGAATGCACTCGAGACGTATCCCGTGATCGGACTCCCCGACGGACGGAAGAAAGCCACGACGAAAGAGGGGTCGAGACATAGCTGGGATCACGCGTCGCGACGTTCTCACCGCTTCACCGACGCGGTGCGCTCTCTCTCTCTCTCTCTCTCCCCCCCCCTCTCTCTCTCTCTCTCTCTCTGTTAGTCCGCCGACTTCCCCGCCAGCTGACAGCGGATTACATATATCGATTCTAACGAGACGACGACCTTACGCGACGAACGGGAACAAAGGCGAGTCGGAGACGTCGAGCGCGGCGCGACAGACCGAGCGAGCGAACATTCCGGACATTTGCGGCGGCGACGACGGCGGCGGCGGTGGCGGAGGAGGTGGAGGTGGTTGAACAGAGAAAGCATGTGTCGTGTATAATCGTCGAATGTCGCATTGCAGCCGCGACGACGACAGCGGCGGCGGCGGCGGCGGCGGTAGCGGCGGCGGCAACCACGACGGTAACGGCGACACACATGACGATGCCCTCCACATCTGTCGTCGTCTGTCCTTGTCGCGTACACAACCGCCGCCGCCGCCGGGTTGCTGCCCGACCAACCGTCTCCGTTCTTTCCTTCTTTTTCGTCTTGTTCTTCTTCTCCTTCTTCTGTCGTTTGACATGTAGACGAGATATGCAGACTTCTGCCGACTGGTGGCCGTCGGGGTGCCGACGAACGAGTCGCGATTTTTCGCGCGAGTGAAAACGCGAGATGCGATATCGAAGATGACGAGGGCGAGCGGGTGCTCGAAGATCGTTGGTATGGGATGTAGGAAAGTGCAGGATGCGTCCACCGTCAAGATTCGTTGAAAACTTCGCGATAAGATCTACTGTACACGGATATTCGATACAGCCCGTCGCGTGCACGTTTCCTTCTTTATCTCAACCTTTAAAAGCTATCATCAAAGAAAATTACGTTAATGCTGTCATGGGTGAAATGTCAGTCTAGTATATATCAGGTGTAGTAAAAAGAAATCCATTATTTTTGCATGAAATTGAAGGCTTTAATTACCATAGTTAGAATGATCCAATTTAGGTCAAATATGCGCCGTTTTGTTCGATAACTTATTGTCATTTTGAAGGTAATTTCATTATGCCTCTCTCATAGAAGCCCTCGTCCCTATTGGCAAAAAATTGAGACAGTCGATTTTCACAAGCCTCTCTTGAAGCGAATTTTTCACCAGCAAAATTGTTCGCCATGGACAGGAACAGATGGTAATCACTTGGTGCCAGGTCCGGACTATAAGGTGGATCCACAAGAACCTCCCAACCAAGCTCCCGGAGCTTCTGGCGAGTCACTATCGATGTGTGTGGCCTGGCGTTGTCCTGATAGAACACAATTCCTCTCCTATTGGCCAAAGCTGGCCGCTTCTGGGCGATTACTTCCTTCAGACGGTCCAATTGTTGACAGTACAGTTCCGAGTTAAGAGTTTTGCCGTAGGGGAGCAGCTCATAGTAGATAATTCCCTGCCAATCCGACCAAACACACAGCAAAACCTTCCTAGCCGTCAATCCTGGCTTGGCCACCGTTTCCGCCGGCTCACCGCGATTCGACCACGACCGTTTTCGCTTGACGTTGTCGTAAGTGATCCACTTTTCATCACCAGTGACCAACCGCTTCAGAAATGGGTCGATTTTGTTGCGATTCAGCAGCGATTCGCAGATGGAAATTCGGTCCATGAGGTTTTTTTGCGTTAACTCGTGTGGCACCCATCGAGCTTCTTTTTGTATCCAGCCTTATTCAAATGGTTCCAAACGGTTTTTTGTGCAATCTTTAGCTCTTGGGCAATCGAAACAGTGCTTACATGACGGTCGGACTCGACAATGTTCATGATTTTATCGATATTTTCGACAATTGGCCTTCCAGTGCGTGGTGTATCTTTGACATCGAAATTACCGGAACGGAATCGATGAAACCAAAATTGCGCGTGATTGGCTGTTACAGTATCAGGACCATAAACACTATTCACATTTTCAGCCGCCTGGCTTGCGTTTTCGCCTTTATCGAAGAAAAACTGTAAAATATAGCGTATTTTCTCTTTGCTAGTGTCCATCTTTGACGCGCGCTCAAACAAAACTGAGTCAACTAATCACAAAACTGTCACAAAAGTTTTTTTAGTACGAAATCTCATCTTTCTAACACCATCTAGTGGAACCCGATCGGACTTATACAACGCGAGATACAGATAACTAAAGCCGTCTATTGGAAAAATAATGGATTTCTTTTTACTACACCTAATATTAGGAGGTTGAATTAGTTCTGGTCCCTAGCGATAGATGACTTTAGTAACAAGTTAATGATTAGTACGAATGTTGAAATCTGGCAACACTGAAAGATTTGACATCTCTCTATGACATATGACAGTTGACACATTATTGTTACTGATAGTTTCATTGTTTAGACGCGTCTAAAATGGATCGTATAAAATTGCATTTTCGACATTCATTACTTTTTTTGTTTGATTTAAAAAATTCGGCAAGTGAAGCTCATGAAATGCTTATTACAACTTATGGTGTGATCAAGGCTCCATTATATCCCAACTGTAAACTGTGTTTTCAACGATTCAAAAGTACTGGTCAACCAAAAAAATTCGAAAACTCTGAATTGCTAGCATTATTGAATTAAAACACCGCTCAAATGGAAAAACAATTGGCTGAACAACTCAACGCCGATAAATCAACAATTTCTAAACGCCTACACGCCATGGGAAAGATTCAAAAGGAAGGCAAATAGGTTTCACATAAATTGAGTGAAAATACCATTGCAAATCGTTTGAAAGTCGCCGTGTCTTTGCTTGTCAGACAGAAAAAAAGAGTTTTGTGTGACGAATTTTAACTGAAGATGAAAAGTGGATTTATTTTGATAAGCGAAAAAATCATAGGTTGATCCAGAACAACCATCAACATCGACACCAAAACGAAACATTCACGATCGCAAAGCAATGCTCTGTATTTAGTGGGATATGGAAGGTATGGTGTACTATGAGCTTCTAAAACCGAATGAAACAGTTACGGGGGGGGCGATACCAGTAACAATTGAACAAATTGAATGATGAATTAATGCAAAAAAGGCCAGCGATAGTCAGCAATAGACGCAAGTGATTCTTTTGCACGATAATGCTTGCCCACATGTTGCTTCAAGCGTTAAACAAACATTGTTAGAGCTCGAACAGGAAATCCTTCCGCATCCAGCGTACTCTCCAGACTTAGCACCATCTAATTACCATCTATTCCGATCGATGCAGCACGCTTTGACAGATACACACTCCAATAATTACGAGAATGTGCAAAAACGGGTGTCTGATTGGATTGCTTCGAAAGACAGATCGTTCCACCGTCGCGGAATCGCCATGTTGTCAGAAAGACGGGAAAGGGTCACAGCTAACGACGGAAAATATTTTGATTGATGCAAATTTAACCATTTCTTTAAAATAAAGATAAAGAAATTAACAAAATAAGACCAGAATTAATTCAACCTTATCTAATATTTCTTTTTGTTTTAAAAATCAAGAAAAGTCAATCAAATGAATCCAATTGAATTGTCTTATCGCTGTCGAATATTAGATGGAAAGTAGAGAAGTTATTACTTGCAGCGGTTATAAGGGTTTATTTCTAACGAGGTTGAAGTAAAATTCACATGGGGCGAAATTGCAGCCACGGCAGCCTTTAAGGGTTAAAATTGAATTGGAAGTGCGGCCGTTGGCCGGGCAGACAGGCGAAGCCGGCGACTTCGATACATACGCGGCATTTCTCACACCGCTGACTCGATATGGGAAAAGTGGGCGAACGTAAACTCCGCCTTTCCCGTACCTGACCGACGCTGAATTCGCTCGACTGCACTAGTGCGCAACGATACGCACGGCTTGACGTAACAGCATGTGCACGGCACATGATGAGCATCCCGACGCGGGTCCGTGCATGTGTGCGACGATGGTCACCATGCTGTTTGACGGAATTTCCGTCGCGCGCGCCCCAGTGGCCGAGACACTTGTCGGCTATGTTTACGCACCTTAAGTACTTGAGTAAATTTGTGTACGATGGGCTTTTAGAGCACTCGGTGAGAGTGCTCGGTGCACTCAATCAGACCCCCGCCGCGACCGGACGCGATCGATAGATTTGCCGATAGATAGGATGTATCGGCACGGAGCTCGCGAGCAAATTGAAATAAAGATGGACTTGTTTGATCTGTAACACGCGCGCGCTGTCCTCTCGTTTGTCCAACGGGCAGTCGTCTCGAGTGCCCGAAGATTCGTTTGCTGAATGCTCGAGCGGTTCGCTCGGCGCCGAGAAGAGACGAACGTTGGTGTCCGACGTAAACGTGACATCGCACAATGGCGTTACTGATTCGACGGATATTCACGGACAATCGCAGTCTTCACAGAGAAGCTGTCTCTGCACGCTCGGACACTTCGCGCATTAAACGGTCTCTGCAACGGAGAAAACTCACGCTGAAGATAAACCGGAGTCTTTGTTCATCAGCGACGCGCAAACACAGCGCGTCGCTAATGAGCGAGAACTCGAGCCGGGTCTTGACGTCGACTAAGGATTCCATCGTTTCTGCCGGAAACGAGAAGCACTTCACCCCATAAACAGCGCTGCGAATTGGATTTTTTAGCGACTCGGCTGCGAGGAAAATCACGCAACCCGCTTGCGCAACTTGCGCGCAAACCGTCCGTTTTGCTCGCTTTCGCCGTATAAGGACGGCGCGAGATAGCCGCGAAGAAACTCGCGGGCGATCTCTTCTCCCGATGAAGGAGACGTCCTCGCCTTCGTCAGGAGAGCCAAGCCTGCGGTCCTGCCAACTCGAGAGAGCCAAAGTGCACGAGCCGCAGCTGCGTTCCCAAAAGCCCGAGACCGCCGAGGCAACCCAGGCTTTCTTCTCTTCCCCGCGTACCTGGCTAATATCGCGGCGAGACGTATCCTCCCGCGTCGACCAGGATCGGAGCATCGAACAGGTTTCCCGTGGCGCTCTCGTTCTGCCGCTTCTGGAGGGCCGCTTCAGTATCCCCGAGGCCGAGAGCGGATCCACGATGACTTCGCGACTGGGTCGACCCAGTGACGAGCCACACTGCGGTGTTTATGACACTGCGCGGATGATGACACGCGAGAGTACCCACTGGGAGGAAGTCGTCCACTCCGTCTCCGTTTCTCTCTCTCTCGCTCTCTCTCTCCCCCTCCCTCCCGCTCACTCACTCATTCCCTTTCTGTCTCTCTTATACAGCCTCTTTGTCAGTCACTCGCACTCTCCTCTTCTCGCCTCCCACGTTGGCTCTCCAGCAGGAGCTCGAACGAATGCAGAGGAGAAAGAGAGAGGATCGGTCTCTCGCACGATTTGGCCGCGGCTTCACCGGCGCTCGCAGGATGGCACGCACCAACTGCTCCGAAGAGGAAGTGCAAGCGACGTGTGTGCCCGACTTGCGGCGAGTCGGCCTCTACTGCCCTCCAGCACCTGGAACTCAGCCTGACGCGCTGCTCGGCCGAGTACAATGCCTCCTATATCGGGTGTCCTTCTTTAAACGCCGCCTACCTCCGTCCTCAGCTATCCCCTTCAAGTCGATACAGGCCTCTCTCTCGCTTTTACGAGGACACTCTCCGTTCTCCTAGCCAGGTAGTAGCCAGTGACTCTCATCTCGTCCCGATGAAACGGTACTGATCGCCACCAGGTGTGAGCCGAGCGAAGTCGCTCGGCTCTCGGGCTTCTTGAACATTTTCGCTGAGATTTTCGCCAGCCGAGAGGCGCCGGCTATTCTCCGCGTGTCGACGCGATCGAGCAGTTTTATGTATCGACAAATGGGACTGAAGATGGCGCGCCGCAATCATGGTTTGGGCGGCCCTCTTTCGCGCCCTTATTCATCTCCGTTCGTCGCTCTTTCTGATTTCCGAAGCACGTCGCGATATATTTAACATCGCTTTCGCGAATTCGTCTTCGTCGGGGAGACTTCACTCAGGGAAATTGGAAGGAAAAGATTGATTCGCACGGATGAAAGACACGTCGCGTGGCTTTCACACGGCAATCGAGAATAAACTCAAGAGATTCGCCGGATAGGGGATGATACGTTTTCTACCGTCGCGCCTCGATGCATATGCAAATACAGCGCGCACCGGGTCTTCTCGAAGCTTCGAACGAACGTGCTACGTGCTTTGAAAGCTAACAATGTTTCTCACTTACACGTAATTTTACCTTACAACTCAATTCCCAAGTCGCCGTTCTCATATCGCTGTCTTGGAAAATATAAGCGGCGCCGCGCGGAAGCCATGGGGATACTTCTTTCCGGCAGAGTAAACACCTGAGACACAAGCTCGAGCGAACTTATGTCAAAACGTACAAAAAGGATGCGTTCGGAATCTTTGGTAAAATGTTCATTCGCCAAGTTCTCGAAATATCGATGAGGCTGAAAAACGGTACGTTGTGCTCTCGCGCATCTCACGGGAAGAGAACGGAAACAGCGCGAGAAGCGCGCCGAGAATTTGAGAATTGCCGATGGACGTCGATATGTTAAAGACAACATAGTGGCAGGCGTGTTCCAGCCATGGCCACAAGCCGGTTCAGCACAGCAGAAACACTGACAAAAACCAGCCTTAACTTGGAAGCCGGACATCGCGGCTCGGCCGGTTGCATGTTATTGATCCCGCAAGTTGCGCCCTTTTCATCACGAAACATCGTTGCTGAAGTGGACAAAGGCGACCCTGTAGCGAGCGTACGGTTCCTTGATCGATACAGAATGAATTAATTTTAAACCAAAAGAGCCCAGAGAGTTCAGCTGCCGCGTTGGCTGTGAGATATCTATATATGCGCGATCAAATACGGAAGCCGGTAGTACTACGGTAATTCGACGGAGATCGATACGCGAAAACACCTAATAATTAAACGTTTACGGGGAAAAAGGATTGGTCGAATTGACGCGACAATGAACAACGAATCAAATACGTTTTCATCAAAGAAGAAGAAACAGCAAGTTGCTGATTCTGTCTTGTGTAAACCTAATTTAGTTTTAAGAGCTAGAAATTTTGATTCCTTCAATTAGAACACATTTAACCAAGTATCTCGTTAATTCCACCGATCTTTTTCCTTCGTATCACTCATTCTCAAAGTATAATTAATGAATAGAGAAGAAGGTGGTATTATGACCCTCCATTTTGTACAATAACTTGGTCAATAACCTGATCAATATTTTATAGTTTAAAATGAGAACTGAATAATTACATTTGTTACAATGTTGTTTAATCGACTATAGACTCAAATTTATATAATGTTTATGACTTAGAATGTTACAAAAGTGTGGCTGATTATATATTGCCCGATACAAAAATTAAAATCTTGAATATGGTGAGAGAGCGTCCAAGTTGGACCTTGAAAACGATTCAAAATCGTGGAAGTGTACTTAAAAACAAAAATTATTTAAAACAAATGACAAGAACAGAAAGGCGAAATAAAAGAAAAATTTGATATAATCAATAAATGGACGAGCATTTTGAATCTCGGCAGCAGATGCAACCTGTTTCAACAAGAATTACACAAGGACCTCAGGATTCTCCTTTGTAGTATCACATACTTAGGAAATTAAATTTAAGGCATCCTATTTCCTTCGTCAAAGGAAGATCAAGCGTTATTTTAAATCAAAACATGCACTGGATTTATCGACGATACTAAAAAAAGCAAAAAATTTTCAGAAACGGATCGCGAAAGAAACTTCAAATTTCCACCTTGATATTATATCACTTGTTATTAATACGGGCCAGGCCACGTTGCGAGTATTGCGTTTATATACGCAAACGTTGCCTAATAAAAGAGATAAAACTATAAAAATTTCCCTTGATGACTTTAATAAGGTTACACGTACTTACATAGCACAATATTTGATTGCCGCTTCTGGAAAACTTCTTGCAAAAGTATTTCTTCATTCTTTGCAAGAGCCTAAAGGAATTTTTGATCCTCGCGTTTCCGCTACTGTTGAAGAATTAACAAAAAACTACGAAAATGCATTTATCATGGCAACGAAATCCGGGAAATTAACAAAAGATCATTTCGAAAGTTTTGTTAAAAATGTTCTTATGGAATATTGCAAGGAGGCGGAATTTTTACTTGTTCTAGACTCTTGAGGATGTCAGACAGATTCGGCATGTTTCAACAGCATTTTTACTGATGAAAATTGCAGTTCAACTATCGAAATTATTTCTCCTCATTGTAGTCTGTACTGTCAACCGCGTGTTTTTTCGACAAGCAAATAATTTTATTAAAAAGATGCATAATTCTGTGAAGGTCTTGCAAAGGAAGCAATAATTATATGCAAAGGAAGATGCAATAAAAATCCATTTCCTCATTTATCATCAATTATCCTTCCCGCTTTCATTTTCGAATGTATGATATAATATGCGTCAAAATTAACACCCGAAAGAATTATTTTTACAAAAAAACGAAGTTTGCTCTTCTAGTAATGCGATCGCGCAGTGTGCGCATTTATAAAAAATGCTGTTTGTAGGAAATATTTATGTTTTTCGTATTTTTATAATTTATATCACGATCGACCTAATATATAAAATCAATGTAAATATTAAAAAATGTATAAACAAAATCTATAATTATTTAACGCTGTTTTGATTGACGATTCTCCAACTATTAAGACAAATATATTACGAAATTTATGTGTACTTTTTAACATTATAACATTCTATTCGGAAAATGCACAAAGCTTCAGAAATAAAAGTAAAAATGTTTCTCTAAATGAATATTTCATTTATCATACCAACCACTCTCAATTTCGAGCATAAAAAATATTATTTACAAGGCCCGTTCAACAAAACACTCGCATATGACTCCATTTATTTTTTATGTGGATTCGCCCCATGTGAAAGGAGATCAAAATCAGTGAAGAATCAATCACGACCTCCTCTTGTTAGTAGTAACGCGAATGGACTCAGTCTGGGAGGAAAATTTCGGTGCATGAAATTTCGATAAATCTTGCAGCTCTACTCCCGTCCCGCCTCGCTAGCGTTTTTCCCTGTTGTAGTGGTAAATTCCGAACACACGCGACGACCTTCGTTCCGCCGTCGGCAGTCTTGCGTTCCGCGTATCGAATTTTCACGAGGGCGGCCGTCGAAGGCAGACGCTTATGGATCATGCTCATAATTCAAAAAGCTGGCGGCAGCCGACGGCATTTTTTATTTAGGACCTCACTATAGAATAACGAGATTGCGTTCTCCTGCAAGAGACAGAGAGAGGGAGAAAGGCCGGAACAGGGCAAAACGCGGTAACAAGCAGGAAGCTAAAGGGCTGGAGAAACGTTTGGCGGAGCGCGCAGAGCTACTTCTCCACGACACATATATACAAAACCATGTATACTGTATATACCGGCTACGCTTCTGACGGAATAATCCGAGAAAATTTGCCGTCGAGAGCGAATAAGAACGCTCGAAACCGCAGAACACTATGACACGCTCCTCTCTCGAGACTGCATTGTATTTCGTTACGGCAAACAATGCTCGAGCTTGAAATGCTAATTGACCCGCTAAATACTCGGAAATAAGTTTCAGCCTAAAACGAAAAAGCGCGAAGTGTCTCATCAGGTCAATAATACCAGAAAGAAATAGACATCATACGTTGTCGCTGTTGAGACTGACTGGGTCATGATGACCCGAGACGTTTTTTTGAAACCTATTAAATGTTTTATCAAATTATTTGTATTAACGAAACTTAGGGATACCTAGTTAACGAGGAGATCAAAAGGTTTCCTCGCAGGTATGAAGAAAGAATATAATAAAAAATACAATGAAAAATGCTAAAGCTGCGTGATAACCAGAATATAGTGCGGTGACTAAAAAGGCTAAAACTATGTGACCTAATTAATTGGTAAAGTTTTAACCCACAAGTAGTACATAACAAGTAGAACTGTGCAGCAAGTGGAGCATGTCGATGAACTACATCTGAAACATTTTTTTATTTATCTAATATTTTTTTAGATATTTAAGGAGAACTAGGAAACTTTTTAAATATTTAACTTACAATATAACTCGCCAACTATTTGTCGGAAGAAAAAATGCTATTAGACTTTTTTACTCTACTTGGTCTCCAGAATATATTGTTACAATAGCACCCTGACTTTTATTAATTTGATGAATTTTTGGAACTTTCGAATCGACGTCTATTCAATTTCCCATTTCTCCCTAGGTAGTCTTCGACTAGTTGCAGTTGATGTATACCTACCTAATAAAAAAAAGAAAAAAAAACTTATATTCAAAAGCTACTATTCCATAAAAGCTACTAACTCTCTAAAACCACAGCTGACACTGCGAGAGTAAAGCAAAAAATGTTCTGATCATCATGACCCACCTTAACGTGCGTGTAATATTTCACCACTATAATGACCTTAGCCAAGGTAACAGCTTTTTCCATTTTGTTTTATATCTATGTCGTCTAGTATTTTGCCTTCTTCAGTTCGAAACCCTTTCCTACTTTCGAGAGTTGCTTCACACAAATTCGAAATTTCGTACAAACAAAATTCTTGCAATCCGTTATTAGTCCCCCCTCCCCCCTCTCTTTCTCTCTCTCTCTCTCATTATCACTCCCCTCTCTCCCCCCCCTACATTGCATTCTCTTTTTGCCGTCCCAACTTTTGAGTATCTTGTTTAAAGACCCGGTTTCTTCATACCTCCCAATAGCTATCGTCCAGATAAAGATATCCGTCAGATAATTAAAAATTCGTTTTCTTCATTGAAACCTCTGGTTACGTATCTAACAAATAACTCTTCATACTATTAATTCTTCATACTACTAGCTTTTGACACAAAATATACTAGAAATTTATTATAAATCACCATATTCTGCCAGCGACATATTCTTTTCCGGGCTAGTATTAACTAATTAAAGTAATCTTCACAGTGTTAATAATCGGCCTTCAATTGCATATAATAATTCAAGCATTGTATCCTTTTTTAAACGAAATCGTTCGAAAAAATTCTATGTCATCCCATACTTGAAAATTGTTTGGTTTATTTCTTATTGTATTTCGTATTGTATAGAGTCTTCTTTCCACACCAATTTTTCATCATCATCATCATCATCAGATTCAAAAATATTAATATTCATGAATAACAAATCCATGTTGTATTTTCATAAAAACAACAGCAGCAAAGCAGATTACATATTATTGTAATTTTTAGATTATGTCAGGGCACTGAAATCAATATCTGTCAGATATCCATTACTTCGGATACCGGATAAGTTTATCTGCCGGATACAAATTTTACAGAGATGAAGAAAACCAATTCTAGCAGATATCTCATAGGTACATTTATCAACAACTTATCTAGAGGTGAAGAAATTGAACATTAACTGTATTCTTAACTATAGCTTATCGTAATAATTGTTTTATATTTAATAGAGAAAAAAATGGTATTATATAACCCTTGTAAGTATTATGGCCACTGTCAATATCTTCATTATTAGGTAGCGAATTCCAGTTGTTATTACTTACGGAATCATTTGTTTAGTAGTTTGCCGTTAGCACTATGCAGTGATGCTAATCAAGAGGCACGGTAGTGCCTCGCGCCAAGTTCAGCGCAACGAAGTGCCCGAATCAAATCGTCCCTGTTGATAAGCAATCAAATAACAGGCGTCACATACCGTGTCGCAGTATGTATAACAATATAATCGTTTATTATATATATATATGTTTATTATATATATATATGTATATATGTATATACACACAGGGTATCCCAAACCACCTATACCACCTGATTTTTTGGAAAACGTGACATTTTAGAGGAAAATGTTCAGACAAAAGTTGTTTGGTTTGAAGGGGGGCATAAGACAGCGATAGCATTTTGTTTACAGATGGCGCCACTCTTGACATACTTACTGATCATCTATTTTCTTAAATGAAAATCCCAATTTTTTATTATATCATTTTTTTATCAGTTAATTTGAATAACTTTTGCCTGAAACATTTTTTTATTTGCCTAATATGTTTTGAGATATTTAAGGAAAACTTGATAACTTTTTCAATACTTAACTTACGATATCTTGCCAACTATTTGTCAGAAGAAAAAATGCTATTAGACTTTTTTACTCTACTTGGTCTCAAGAACATATTGTTACAATAGTTCCCTAACTTTTGTTAACTTATTGATTTTTGGAACTTTCAAAATCATCAAATTAATAAAAGTCAGGGTGCTATTGTAACAATATATTCTGGAGACCAAGTAGAGTAAAAAAGTCTAATAGCATTTTTTCTTCCGACAAATAGTTGGCGAGTTATATTGTAAGTTAAATATTTAAAAAGTTTCCCAGTTCTCCTTAAATATCTAAAAAAAATATTAGATAAATAAAAAAATGTTTCAGACAAAAGTTATTAAAATTAATTGGTAGAAAAAGATAATATAATAGAAAATGAAGATTTCTAATGTAAATCTGTAACTACAAAAATGATGTGATATCAAAAATATAAAACTTATCATTTTAAACAAAAAGGGAAAAAAGGCGCCAAGTATACGCGCAACGCGTATTGTGTTATTTTTAGAAATCCTAAACTCAAATTATTTTTTTCAACTGCTACTTTAAAAGCTAACCATATAAATATAAATCCAAAATTTAATTTTATTGCAAAAGAACGTCAGTCTCTTTACTATAAGATCTCTTTATTATAAAATTTTCAGGGACTACGAGTATTCGGGACGATTACAAATGTTGGTAGGAAGCTAGAGATAGAGAGAGATGTGAGGACGTTGCCGTCAAAATGAGATAACGCGCACTTTGCCCCCTTTGATAAAAAAGAGACTACAATAGACTATAAAAGAGACTACATTGTCCATTCTGTGCATCAATTCCAATCAGTCGACTTAGGATTCCGGCCTCTTTTTGTGAGGGAAAACACTAGCAAAATGAGGTGTATACTCGCAATTGCATTTACCGTCGTTCTAATCGCAACTGAAGGCAACGCCATGCCGGCTAGTGATGTCGAGAACCAACAAACTACTCCTCAGCCCTTAGAAATTTACGATGAAGTCAGAAAGATTCAAACTACATTCAACGCCCTTTACATTCAGCTACAGAAGGTGTTAAACTTGCCTAATAAACAAGAATACATCAATAATGTGAGTATAACAACCATCTTATTAACTGCATACAGGGTTACATCCAGAACATGACTGTGAAGGCAATGAACATATATCTATCAAATTATATTCATATGTGCTTTATTTAAAATATGTTCGTTTAGTTTAAATATGTTTGCATTGCATATAGTTTCGTTGCAACGTCGGATCCGAAATGTTTGATTAATTAAAGCGATTAAAGTCTCTCTTTTCAATGTTGACTCAAATAGTTTCGTATTTTTTTTTTTTTCCAAATTAAGTTCTATATCAAATATGGTCATCTCAATTATACATTAACGTTATATAGATTGACTTATTTATTTGTAGTCTCGCAATGTGAGATCTCGTACTTAGATTTAGAATTAGAGGTTTTGTGTTTAAATTTTCGAAAAAAATGTCATATTAAGGACGTTGAATTACACAATGTACATTTGCAAGAAATGCCGTTCAGCTTGTCGGTGTCTTAAGAGGACTGAAGAGTCAGATTGCTAAAAAAATCGCTGGTTTTTTATAATATTTTGTGACGAACTGAATAAATGTGCAAGAATAAAAATTTTACGTATATTTATACAACATATGAAGAGTAGAAAAATTTAGTTTATTAACAAATATTCATATATATAGCTGAAGAACTCTCCTTTTTTTCAAGTTGTTTTTTGCAGTAATATCTCGGCTTTCGGTGGTCTGATCAGAGCGAATTTTAGCTAGAAATCTTCAGGAAGCTTGTCATTATCTGGTGAACCACTTACAAAAAATCAGACAAAATTAACAAAATAGCAGCTATTATTAGAAAAAAATTTTAATTTTCCAGTTCTTTTACAATGAAAAAAAATTAATATCTCGAAATGAGATATTTTGACAGAGTTGTTCATGGTTCACCTGAGAACCAAATGAATAAATATTATTGCTTTAAAATTTCAAATCGATACGAAGCTCAGTTCGGAGAAATCGCTGCAAAAAGTTGAACAATAAAATTTCAAGAAAAACGCGTTTAAAATTTAAATGGACATATATTTATATGAGTATTTGTTAATAAACAAAATTTTTCTACTCTTCACATGTTGTATAAGTATATCTAAAATTTTCATTCTTGCACATTTATTCAGTTCGTCACAAAATATTATCAAAAACAAGCACGATTTTTCAGCAATCTGACCTTCCAGTCCCCTTAAAGCAATCTATCAGGAATAATTGACATGGCAAATGACATATAGCAAAAAATAATTCATAAATTGCGAACGCAAAGAAATTGACGATGTAAGAATCTGCAAATTATCTTGCCCTTTGAGATACGTGGATAAATATTACATTCGTCATCTGTATTGCATTACGTTATATTAAACGAATCTTTTGTATTATCTAAAATAGTATTGTAACTTGTAACTGGCAGAAACGTACATGCAATTCACTATGGAGCGATTGCACGTGTTCAAAGTCGTTGATCACGCAGGCATAGATTAGCGAGTCGAGCGATTGAGACAACTAAATATTTAATAAAAGTAGCGAATGTTACTATCTCTAGTAACATAATGTATTACGTGAAAAATATCATTCGTGCGTGTTCCGCTGTGAAACGTGAATAAGTAGATTGAAAACAAAGCAATATGCAAAATTTGGAACACATCCAGCTTATACGCACGATGAATCATTGTTCGCAGGCGGAGGAGAAAAAAAAACCCGAGTTCAAAAATCTATTGGCAATTATTAACACTATGCAGTCTAAGGCATCAATAAAGCTACCGCAAATAAGGTCAAGGAACGAATCCACTCCATGAGAAATTTGAAGAAAGTTTCTGCACCGTAATAAATGAATCCCGTTATGGAGAAAGTAAACCAAATTTTTGAGAAATTATAAGATATCTCTCAACTTACTAAGGATGTTGCTAACATTGTCATGCAAGCTTCTGAAAACTTCAAGAATTACTTGCAGCAGGCGACAACACAAAAGAGAGCGACAGAGAAACACAGTTAAGATACAAAAATACTTCGTAAATTATTCGCATGCGAAACACCTCGGCCATTATGTACAGAGAAATTCAAAGTTCAATTAATCAGCGAATATAACTTCACACCGTATTGTAATCAGACCGAAGAACTGATGAGTGATTTTTAATAAAAGTATTTAACGGTTTATATCTTTTCGTTCTTGGTTTCTTTTCGTAAACCTTCATTATGTTAAAATATTTAAACATGCTGCATCTTATCTTATAAGTTTCCACGACTTCTGAGAGTCCATGACTGTGAATAGAAACATCTTTGCTCTTCGCTCTATCGATTATGTATTTATTGTACAATTAACGCACAGTGCAATGTCACAATTAATTGTAATCAATAAAACTTTACTTTTTTGCGTGGTAGTTATTCCATCAGATAGTAATTTACGCGGGGAGTAAATTAATAAAATTGCGTGTCGTTTAATATAAAGAAATAAATATGTATTTATAAATATTACGAAAGATGTAGCTTACTCTCTTTTAATGAACTTTGCTTGTTTGAAAACAAGAATATCTCCAGCTGTTACTATTGCTTCGTGATGTTTACCAGATTTCATACAAATAGACGAAATATTCACACTAATTCTAGACTTTCAAAGTCATTTTTCATTGGGACTACGAGGGTAGTCCCAGAAGTACCTGACCTGACGTATAGATGGTGGTTGTTTGAAAAGAATGACTATGGTAAAAGGTACCAACCTTATAAACCTTATAAAGTTTGAAGTTTGACGATGCTACGTTGTTTAGTATTTGTTTGGCAGCCATCAATAGTGAACGCTCTCAGTGAATTTATAAACATGGAAAAAATTGGTCGTCGTTATGTGACACAATACTTTCATTTGAAAGGCCTCAGTCCAACCAATATCAAAGCGGAGCTAGATTCTATTCTGGGGGAGTCTGCTCCTTCGTTTACAACAGTAAAATATTGGGTGGCAGAGTTTAAACGAGGCCATACGAGCTGCCAAGACGAACATCGCAGTGGTCGACCAAATGAGGTAACCACGCCAGAAATGGTGAAGAAAATCCACAAAATGGTATTGGATGACCGTCGACTGAAAGTGCGTGAGTTAGCAGACATGGTAGGCATTTCAAAAAATACTGTACATCGCATATTGACTGAAAATTTGGATATGAGAAAGCTGTGCGCAAGATGGGTGCCGCGATTGGAACAAAAACAGCATCGTGAGGATGTTTCAATCGAGTGTTTGGTGAAGTTTCACAGCAATAAAGCCGAGTTTTTGCGTCGATTCATAACCATGGATGAAACATGGGTCCACTTCACACCTGAGACGAAGGAACAGTTAAAACAATGGACTGAAAGGGGAGAATCAGCTCCAAAGAAGACGAAGACAGTTCCATCTGCAGGCAAGGTCATGGCGTCAGTTTTTTGGGATGCGCGTGGGATAATTTCACAAGGTGGCGTCCCGTCGCCACCTAGTACGCCCTCCTTCTTTCATGGTGGATCCCCCTTCGGCGCGTTGCAAAACGTGTCCAAGCGCCCGGGGGCAGCCAAAATATGGCGTCGACCCCGGGGCTTATTTCTATTATTTGCACCGGATAAGGAGGGGCAACGGTGGAGGCCGGCATACATGGACAGCAGGTCTTAAAAGGATAGCAACCTTTGACTTTGAGAGACTGTCAGCTTGTACCACCAGGTACAAGTAACAATGCCTCTCTCTGTAGTCGCCGTGCGCTCGGGATAGCACTAGAGATGTCGCCTCCGAACGACATCTCTCAACGTTATCTGGGGAGGGGAGAGTGTCGTGAGCGTGGAGCGTCAGATAGCTCAGTGGTCTAGAGCAGTCGCCCGGCAAGCGAAAGACCCGGGTTCGATTCCCGGTCTAGCGACTACCGCGCTCTCGATATTTTTCTCTCCTCGGAACGAAAAATGAGATGCAGGTCCCGAACGCACGGCGTTCCCGTCGCCACCTAGTACGCCCTCCTTCTTATCATGGGATAATTTTCATTGATTATCTTCAGAAAGGAAAAACAATCAACGGCGAGTATTATGCGAACTTATTGCAGCATTTGAGTGATGAAATCAAGAAAAAACGGCCGCATTTGGCGAAAAAGAAAGTTTTGTTTCATCAAGACAATGCACCAGTTCACACATCCGTTATCGCGATGGTCAAAATCAATGAGTTAAAGTTCGAATTGTTTCCTCACGCACCCTATTCGCCAGATTTAGCCTCCTGGGATTATTTTCTGTTTCCAAACTTGAAAAAATGACTCGGTGGTAAAAGATTTGCCAACAATAAAGAGGTGGAGTCTGCGGTTGATGGCTATTTTGAGGAGCTCGACGATTCCCACTATAAACAGGGTATCGAAGCTATTGAACATCGTTGGGAAAAGTGTATTGAGCTAAAAGGAGACTATCTAGAGAAATAAAGATATTTTTTCCCAAATTTTTTGTGTTTTCTTTGTTAGATCAGGTACTTCTGAAACTACCCTCGTACTTAAAGCTCAATTTCCATACTGGTTTAAATGAAGAGTTTTGATTATTTTGTGAATTTTCTCTATTTTAAACGATGAGTATGTAATTATCACGTAAAAAACACATAATGATTGAATTTAATTTTCTTAATTGAAGCAGTTATATATAAGATATCAAATAAACAACGGTTGAAAAAGTGGATAATCTCTATTCTGAACTTTCAAAAAATATGTTTGTCAACATGGTGTCGACAGTTTTTATGCACATACACATGTATTCTCATCTAGAACGTGTCTTTATATGGCTGATTCAATATAAATTTCGCGGAGCGAAGAGTGGATGACTGCTAAAATTGATAATAATTTTGATCTCGCCTTGAACTTTAGTCCTCGTCATGTCATGCGAAATCAGCCATCGATTTGTCTCGAATTGTATTAAAATGTATTTCTTATATGTATGTCCTCACGAGAGAAAAGCATCATTTCATTTAGAAAAGTTTTTTAATCAAATCGTATATATATTAATACACAATAACTAGCACTTTTTATAACACATTTTTATTTTCGAGCATTTCGAAATATTTTTCAAGGTACATTTCAGCATTTAATTAGACATCTCTCCTCATTATTTTGAAACTTGAACATATTGTCACATGAGTATATTTATTTAATTGAGTATTTTGTTTGTTATATTTTATTTTATTTTATTGTTTGTTATATATTTTTTTTTGTTATATTTTATTTGTTATATTATACCTGATATTTTATATTCGGCTGTACATCTTTCAAGTCATGCAAAGTTAAATGATATAGTATAACATTTTGCTAATGTGGCCCCATAAAAGTATTGGTAAATGCTGTCTCTTTTGTGAGATTATATCAAAGTTTATTATTTATTATTCGGCAAGTCGATTCTAATCTGTAGTGCACTCATGTTGCACTCATGTTTGCACTACATTAGTTTCTTTCTGGCAAATTGTATTTCCCAACAAGTAAGTCAATATCCACATTAAGAATTCGCAGTTATATTCATTACTATTCCACTCCTAAGAGTTTAATTTGAATAAATGTATAATTTCGTAACTAAACACTTGTGTTATTTTAAACAAAATCAATTTTTTGTATCAGTTTTAGTGAGAAGCCACATTATCACTCCATTTTCTCGCCGATTATGCTCCATTATGCGTTGCCACATTTTGATAAATAACATCCTAAGTAATAAACATTACGTAAATTTGAGTCTATAATCGATTCAACAACACCGTGACAAATGTAATCATTCAATTCTCACTTTAAAATATTGATTATTGACGAAGCTATTGTACAAAATATGAATGAAGAGCTATAATACCACCTTCTGCTTCACAGTTAATAATAATAACGACAACAACAACGATAATAGTAATTTAGCTAAATTTAATTTGTATTTAATTGGTAATAAGTAGCATGAAATCTCTAAATATTAATGAGACTTGTCAGATGTAATTAAATTAATCATATCTGTGGCACATCTGTGTGGCATGCGACAATAACGACGAGCGTGTTCTTATGCCTGGTTTCTTCACACCTCCCAACAGCTATCTTCCAGATAAAGACATCCTCTCAGATAACTAAAAATTCGTTTTCTTCATTGAAATCTCTGGTTACGTATCTACGTAACAGATAACTATTCTTCATATTACTAGCTTTTGACACAAAATGTATTAGAAATTTACTATAAATCACCATATTCTGTCAGCGACATATTCTTTTCCGGGCTAGTGTTAACTAATTAAAGTAATTTCCACAGTATTAACAATCGATCTTCAATTGCATATAATAATTCGAGCACTGTATCCTTTTTCAAATCGTTCGAAAAATTCTGTGCCATCCCATACTTGAAAATTGTTCGATTTATTTCTTATTGTATAGAGTCTTTTTTTTCAAATTCTTCTTCACCATTATCATCATCAGATTCAGAAATATTAATGTTCATGAGTGACAAATCCATGTTGTGTTTTCCTAAAAACAGCAACAGCAATAGCAAAGATTACGTATTACTGTAATTTTTAGATTATGTCAGGACATTGAAATCAATATTTATCAGATATTACTTCATCCATTACTTCAAGTACCGGATAAGTTTATCTGCCGGATACAAACTTTACAAAGATGAAGAAAACCGATTCGGGCAGATATCTTATGGATAAAGTTATTGTCAACTTATCCAGAGGTGAAGAAATTGGGCATTATTGAATTAAATATAATTCTTTATCGAATCAGAGACGGTTGCGCGTGGAAGTAAAACGACATGTATAAAGGTGAAGGATGTCGGTTATACTGCTCGGTTTCCAACATGGTTCGATACTGCAAACGCTCGCCAGCGGCAGATGGTACAATGTCGTCAGCGTGACATTAAGAAAACAGCCTGTCCGTTCGCCTCCCTTCGCAGCGATGAGTAGAGCTGCGTCTGCAGCTCGAATCGGATAGCTCGGAATAATCTCGCGTTCGGTGCGTCTCGGAGACGGATAGATCTCAGGTATAGAAGGACCTGAGAATAGGTAGGTGGCAGGATTCTCCCTACGCAGTCTTAGGGTCGTTAAGAAAAGCCACATCGCGTATAAAAAGTCCGAGCGATTGTCTGATGTGCTTTCCTATCTCAAGCTTCCCCCCGTCTACCATGTTATCCCAAGGTCGCAGTATCTCCCGGGTCTCGTAGAGGGTACATAATTTATACAAAACGCCGCGTGTGTGGATATTTCATTTATCTCGCTCGTCACTCATTCCGCCTCCCTTCCACGTCGTTCTCTTGCACTTCTATCTCCTCAACCCCGAAGCGCCGCGAAAATCACACGTACGAAGCGCCTGAATATTTATCTTACATTTTGCCTTATCACCCTCCGCGATATAGTCCCCTTATCACCCTCTCTCCCTCCCCCATTTTACACCGTATCCTTATAATTCATTTCTTGAAGTCTGAGCGCGTCCAATTATCGTCTGCTTCGCGAATGTTTATCTTGCGCGTCTCCCCTCTTCTTCCCTCGGCACATCGCCTTCTCATACACCGTCTCTTCGGAAAATAATCATCCCTCTTTTCTCGCAACTTGCTCCTCGAGCGTCCTTCACGCTTAACCCTTTATGTGGAATATTTTTTCTACCTGATGGATTTTTGCGAAATCTTACATGTCTATGTCTTTTAGCTTGCTGATTACAAATCTAAAGTTAGATTTAAAAAATTCAAAATGGCAGATTCAATATAGCTACTATATAATAAATTAGTCTGAAAAAAAGTTTGAATAATTGTAAATCAGATACACGGTACAAAGATTTCTCAGACCGTTCGGATTTCATGTCAGATTGACGAAATTCATTCAGATAATTTGTTCATACATAGAATCCAGTGTGCGAAAAATTCTGGAGAAAATATATATTACATTTTGACACATGTGAAGAATATTCAGCAAAATTTTTAGCCTCCGATCTCTTAAATACTTTCCACGAAATTATAAATTCCTGTTTTTAATCGCTCTCTTTCAATTTTATTTGCTTGTAAATAATTAAAAATGAATAATCGCATATAAAAACTAGGAAAAATATGTAAAGTAAATTTTAATATACCAGAAAAAATGTGAGATCATACTTATTTTCGTTAAACTGTAAACGATAAAAACGAAAGAGAAAAAGGTGGTAAGTATAGCTATTACTGTCATACAAAGAGTTAACCCTCTACAACTTAATTTTCTTTCGTGAGTATAAAAAGAATTATGTAACGTGACACCAGCAAATATTAACCTTCAGATATAAAGATTAACATATAATTTTAACAATCATTATTTTATTAGTGTGATCTAGTTTTGAAGATTTTTTTTTCAAAAACTGATTTACTTAAACAAGATAATGAACGAATACCTTCATCTAAATATTTTCCTTCGTTTTCTACAACTTATCCTCATCTTTCTGGCAAGAGATGGATTCCACGATAATAAAAAGATTCTTCTTTGGAGTTGATCCAATTTTCAACAAATTTTCGCACTTGCTCGAAGTTATGAAAGTGTGTATCCTCTAGAGCATATTGCATCGGTCAGAACAAGTAATAATCGGATGAAACAATGTTTGGAGAATACGCGGAGTGCAATAAGATTTCTCATTCCAACTCTAATAGCATTTGCTTCGCTGATAATACAACATGCGAGCATTGTCACGAAGAAGAATCACTTCGCGTCATTTACACGTAATTGATGATCGTTTTTGGTTCAATACTCGCTTCAATTTATATAATTGTTGTCGGCAACGATCAGTGGTGACAGTTTAATTCGCATTAATAGTTCATAGTACACAACACCTTTTTAATCCTATAAAATATACAGCAATACTTTTAAACCGTGAATATTGCGCCTCGAAGTGGATGTCGCTAGTTGGCTAGATCAACCCCAACGACCTTTTTCGTTTGGGATTATCGAAATAGATGCATTTTTCATTCCCAGTAACAATTCGATATTCAATAAAACTCTTCATTTTTTGTCTGGCGATCAATGAAATATAAATGTTCAACCGCGGTTCGCAGTGGCATTTTCCGATAATTGATGTGGAACCTATTTTTCTTCTTTGTGAATCTTTCCCTTATCACGTAAACTTTTAGTGACTGTTCGACATTTAATCGACGATCAACATTTAATGCTCTGGCAAATTCTGAAGTGGATTGTGCTGGATTTTCGTACAGTAATACTTGCAAATCTGCATTTTCAAACTTTTTTGGTTGTCTCGAACAATCTTTGTCGTTAACATTGAAATCGCCACCTTTGAATCGTCTAAAGCAATATTCATATGTCTTAATTGATGAAGCAATATCACCATAAGTTTCTATCAGAATTCTATAACCTCCAGCTGTTGTTTTGTTCTGATTATGAAACAAAAATAACGCATGAAATTTCTTTAGGGAGCTTCATTTTTAAGATAATATTAACATGATTTTTACTGCGTTTATTGTTAATAAATATCATGGATTAATATTAAAGCGTTAAGAAACAGTAGCTGCGATTGGAACGTCTTCGACAAAATTGACATTAGTGCCATATCTTGCAAAACCCTCAAAATTAAATTACGCTTCTAAGATATCAGTAACAATTTTAATATAAATTAACAATTAATTTACAATTTTCAAAGATTTTATTTTAAAAAGATTTGTAACAATTTATAACTTTTGAATTATACCATGAGATACATATCTATATATACATATATAGAGTATTCCAGATCACCCGTCCATCCCTTTTATTTTGGAAAGAAGCTATTTTGGGAATTTTGAAAAAACATTTACCACAAAACTTTATTACAAAAAAAGTTTATCTGAAGTTTCTGGTGGTATTTGCATTTTTGCAAAACCCTCGAAAATACCGGAAACAGAAAGCAACTTGAAAATTTTTAATAGCAACATAGACCAATAAGGATCTCATTAGATAAAGCTTTTAGAAAAAAGAAACAACTATTGCTTGAAAAAAAATGTAATATCCCTCGGAAATGAAAAGATAGCCACAGATGTTCAAAGTATCAAAAGGAATATCAGTCACTACGCGATGCATCCTGCGAAAGTCCTGAGAGCCGTTGGCCACGCGATCGTTAACACGGCCAAAATGTGAGACAAAGGATGGAAAGATGTCTTCGTCAAGGTGGCCGACATTTCGAACATCTATAATTATCTTTTCATATCTGCATGATATCAAATTTTTTTCAAGCACAAGTTATCTTTTTTAAGCTCTATCCAGCGATGTCGTATCGCCCCATGTTGATATTAAAAATTTTTAAGTTGTATTCCCATCAACTTCCTAGCACCAACCCGAAACAAAAGGGGCGGCCGGGTGGTCTGAAACACCCTGTATAATCTGAGTCAAGAATATCGATGTAGCAGAGTACGTGACTTCGAAGTTATTATGGCCCTCGCAGAGGGTTAATCGCACAAAATTCCGGCCACTCCGACGCCTCGCCCGCTCCGTTCTCCGTCGTCCTGTTTTCCAATGCATCCTCCGCCCTCAGGAAGTCGACCGGCACGGCGAGTCGCACAAAGCGGCGGCTGCTTTATTACGTACATCGCGTTTCTACCCTCGCCACGGCCGTCACGTCTCGCCCTCTCACATACACGTGCGCATTGTAGATAGGGCTCACGCACATGGCACGCGCTCCGCGAAGCTCTTCCGGGCGCAGACGCGACGACACGCGCGGCCGCGAAGCGGCCGCTTGGCGCTTGCGATCCAGCCAGCGGCAGCCGCGACGCCGTGGAAACCGGCGCTCGGGGAACACGTCGACTCTTCTGCCGCGGCACTCGTGCGCCGACCGCGACCGCGACCACGGGCTGCTCCGAATTCTCGCTCCCGCGGAACGTGCGATCCTCTCGAAGCGCGAGCGCCAAGTTTCGGACCGGCGACAGAGTTCCCGCGTCTCGGCCTTTCTCCTTCTCTTTCTCTCTCTCTCTCTCTCTCTCTCTCTCTCTCTCTCTCTCTCTCTCTCTCTCTCTCTCTCTCTCTCTCTCTCTCTCTCTCTCTCTCTCTCTCTCTGCATTTTTATCTTGCGTGATCTGTGTTTGCTTACGTGAGTGCCACGTCCTCTCGCCGAGTATGTCTAGCGAGTGCAGACAACGAGGCCGGTCTAGCAGCTGACTCGCCGACGGCGCCGACGTAGCTCGATATCGATACATACGTGCACGGGGAGATGCTGCTCGTCACCGCCGCCGCGCTTCCTTCCGTTCGCTCGCGTTCGCCACGCGATCGTTAACACGGCCAAAGCTGGAAATTGATCGATCGATGCTGAAGGAAACGTTAGTACACTCTCTGTTGGGAGCGTCGTCGATGTTCGTGCACTGTTACTTCCAATTCAAGTCCCACCGGCGCACAAGGCTTCTCTTTAGATGTGTAGTAGCGCTCTCTCTCTCTCTCTCTCGCTTTTCTCTCTGTGTGTGTATGCTTGGAATTTTGGGTATCGTTTGCATCATTGCACTATTATTGCTGTTATTTTCCATTATGTGTACGGTATTGTTGTTTAGAAGATTGCAACAATCAACGCGCGCGGCCTTGTTTCGGTGCGCGAGCGGATTCCTCAATTGTTCGCTGTCGCATTTGTAGTTGGTCCTTTCTGTACAATTGAAGAGCGAGAGAGATAGAGAGAAGAAGGAGAAAGAGTGAGCGCGCGCGTGTATGTGTGTGTGGGTCTCTCTGTGTTTGGTGATGTGGCAATTTCCAAACTGCACGAAGTTTATTTGTACAAGTCGCATGATTGCCGCGTCAAACGGTTTGCGTTCGCATTAACGCGTTTAGGAAGTAACTCCGCGACTTCGCTGCACGCGTCGAATTAACAGGTTGGTGATCGATAGAATCTGATTATCTCTCATTTCGTCCAAAAGTGTCACGCTGATGTCCTGTCACTCCGAGTGCCTCAAGATATTTGTTATTAATGTTGCGACTTTCATATGATCTTAATAATGATTTTCAACGCGATTAATGATAACGGCTTTCTGTGTGCGCACGTGTACGCACGTGTGTGTGTGTGTGTGTGTGGGTGTGGGTGTGTATGTGCGTGACATATTTGACGAGTCGATCCTTACGTAACGGCAATTTAACGAGAGTTCAGAGAATGCTACTTCTTAGCTTCTGGCTGTTTATATCTTAAACTTTCTAATTAAATTTTCTCCAAAGTTAAAACTCGCGCCCGAAACGAACTCGGTAGTGATGTTTCGCTTGCCATTTACAATCTCGGAACTCAATTCTCTGAAATTTCTTCTCCCGTGACTTCGAACCCGATAATCAGAGTTCAAACAATAGTTAAGGAAAAGTCAACTACGGGCATGAGAAAGGATCCGTTATCGTTTTATTTGCGGTCGTAACCGCGACGCACGTAACGTCGCAGAGATACATTTGCACAGTGGATGTTCGCTTGCACCGGGCTATCACATTTAACATGTCAAAGCACGCGTAGACGTCTAGTGTTGGAGGGTAAAATCACGTTGCTGCGTGATTCTAGATCGACAACGTCCGGCACACTGTCAATAAGTAGCTATCAATCTCGAGAAAGTGAGAAAAAATTCCGTGAAATAAAAATTTAATCCCCCAACGATAAATAAATCAGCCAATAGCGAAAAAAGAACGCAATATGACGGGTGCCTAATACCTCCGATACAATCTTTGATTATATTGTACGTGATCCATCTTCGATATAATCTCTGATTACATACGATACGTCTTAGATAATCTGGACTATACACGATACATCCGTGATAATCATCAATTGTGCACGACTTGATAACACCCGATTATTCACGATCCCTCACGACCTTAGGTTATGATCATCGCAACGACAAGTATCCCTTTAATCCCTTAGCTATTGAGTGACAAAAATTTGTATGCGCCCAAAATAATCTTGACAATGAAGTTAATTAAATTATAAACAAAATACTTCGTGGGAGTTGGTTGAGTCGCTAAATCTGAATTTCAAATCAAAGTTTCCAAATTCAAACTGACGAATTCAATCTATGGAGCACCAAGTATCTAAAATCTGATTGTCAATTTTTACTGAGGATTTTTCGAGGCTGCCATTTTGAATTCATGAATTTTTATTTTAAATTTGAAATCAATATGTTCAGAAAGCTTTGAATTCCGATTTTTATGCAAATCGAGTGATGGTTCGAATTTTCATTCCACATGTTAGATCCGCTATTTTGAATTTCGCAATTTTTACCTCGGAATTATACATGATGCATCCGTGATAATCACCAATTGCACACGATTCGATAACATCCAATTATTCACGATCCTTTACAAGCTTAGATTATGATCATCGCAGAGACAAGTCCCTTTAACTCCTTAACTGTTGGGCGACAAAAATTTGTATGCGCTCAAAGTGATATTGGCAATGGAGTTAATTAAATTATAAACAAAATACTTCGTGGGGGTTGGTTGAGTCGCTAAATCTGAATTTCAGATCAAAGTTTTCAAATTCAAACTGACGAATTCAATCTATGGAGTGCCAAATATCTAAAATCTGATTGTCAATTTTTATTGAGAGTTTTTCGAGGCCGCCATTTTGAATTCATGAATTTTTATTTCAAATTTGAAATCAACAGCTTCAGAAACCTTTGAATTCCGATTTTTATGCAAATCGAGTGATGGTTCGAATTTTCATTCCACATGTTAGATCCGCTATTTTGAATTTCGCAATTTTCACTTCGGATTTGAATTCAACAACCCCGAAAACATAAAAATATAGTATCCTGTTTCAATTATTTCTTTTTTTTGGAAGGCATGGATATCTCCGACATCAACAGTTTGGGCCACTTTTCTTTCCGTGGATATTTCCATCATTAACACAGTTAAGAGATTAAATAATAAAGCGCCGTTCACAGAGACGCGCGCTCGCAGTTTGATCACAGTTCGATCTCTGACTGGATGTAACGCAATAGCAAACACGGAGGGATCATTTCAACGCGAAAGTGCGTGCTTCTGTTTGCAAGTTGAACACAAACGCTCCGCCCGGAGCTTTGTTCGTAAATTTCGACGTTTGCATACGTGCAAGTTGCACAAAGGTCGAAAGACCGTATTTTATTTCAACCTCTCCTCTCCCTCCCCTTTCTCCTCTCTCTCTCTCTCTCTCTCTCTCTCTCTCTCTCTCTCTCTCTCTCTCTCTCTCTCTCTCTCTCTGTCTCTCTTTCTCTCTTTCTCTCTTTGTTTCTCTCAAACGACATGAAAATCCAAGAAATGTCCACTCAAGCGCTTAAGAAAACTTTTCGAAAGTTTGTGAGTATGCCGCAAAAGATCATCAGATTGCAAATAAGTAAAAGTTATTGCAAGTTGAGTTTTGTTTTTTTACAGAACTTTATAAGAAGGTGCTTATTCACAATCTTAAGATCGTTGTCCACAGCATCTTAAGTAACAACATAACCTCATTTTTATTATAAGTAATATTATAAGTAATTTTTATTATAAGTATTATAAGTAAAAATGGAACCCGATAAAATACGTCTACACACGTATATTTTTAAATTAAGTCACTGTATGTTTTTCTTTATTTTAACCAAAAAAACACTGTTGCGGAAAAAAAACGCTCGTTCGCCAGACATCACCTCCCTTGATTTTCATTTGTTTAGATCGATGCAACACAGCAAGTGCGGTCACGATTTGCTAATGCCGAGGAAGTCCGAAAATGAGTCGATAATTTCATTATCTCGAGATGTGTCGTTTTCTCTTAGAAATGAGATCAAACAATTGCCGGAGAGATGGCAGTGATGGTGCATATTTTGATCAAAACAAAAGAGTATAGCTTTTTTACTGTTAATTCAAATAAATAAATATATTTAAAAATCCGACTAACTTTTACAAGCACCCACGTACTCACGTTGTAAACTTCGTAATGTGTGTGCGCGTGCGCGCGCGCGTGTGTGTGTATAAAATGAAAATTTGCAAGAATTCTGGCAAGCCCGAGATTGCAGGGAAATTTGCGGATAATAGCGCACGTTTGTTTTTCCACTCGAACTTGTCTCGGCCTTGTTCTGCCCCTTTGCACATAGTGCATCGTGCAGCGCATCGTGTAATTGAGTTCGGTAACGGCTACTTTCACGCGCGCCGTCTAGGCGAGCTTATGAAATCCACATGGACGCGCAAATCAGATTTGTGTGTCGATCGCACCGCGGGATATAACTTGGCGAAACTTCGTTAACCCGTTAACGTCCAAACGGACGATTTTTTGGAGACTTTTCCGCTCAAAGAATTCATCATGTTTTAGTTCTTCAAAAAATTCAACCCAAAGTTTTTCTTACGTAGAATTTCGTGCTTTTTCAGAATCCGATGTCATTTTTTTCGAAAAATCAATTCCAAAATTGTTATAAACGATTTTTTCGAAAAAAAAGTAAATTTCCACTGACAGATTCTTTTCAATCAACGATATCACATTGAAACTGCTTGAGCTCAACCTTAGGGAGAAAATTTCTTGCGTCCATGGACCCCAAACTTCAAAATCAGTAACTGAGTTTTTCAAAATTCAATATGACGTCGACCAAAATGGTGCTCAAAGCTAAAAAATTCGATCGATTTTTTTTCTACGCGAAAAAAGGGAATAGTTGGATTAAAAATGTTTCAGTATCAATCGAATGATACTTCTATATGTTTTTGGGTCGCTGATTACAAATCCGAGATCAGATTTGCAAATTTCAATATGGCGGATCCAAGACGGCGGTATATATCGCTGAAATTTCGAAAAATATGGCTAAAACTCTATACCAGAAGGTTATTGAGGGCTGCTCATCCTCAATCGAGATATATGGAATAGTTTTCAACAAAAATTGTTGAGAACTGACTCTGACCCGTAAGTTCAATAACATTATTGTGATGTCTGTTAGCCGTCGATAATTACATCGCCGTTGCCCGACTTTTACCACGAGGAGGTCGACATCTGTGAGAGTCTTTTTTTAGTTTTTTTTATTTTTGTTTTCTTTTTATTTTCTTTTTTAATTTTTTTTGAGAATTTAGAGATATTTATTTATGAAAACTCATGGAGCTTACTTATGAAAAATCTGAAAACATTTCAAACATTGATAGACTTGACAATCAACAGAATTTTTGAGTCCTTGAAGAACACTTAGAAAAATTCGAGCAATTTCTTTTGGCTGCGACAGTCTCAATTTTATGCGATAGCAAATTGTTGGCTTTATTTTTTATGAGATATGTCGAAGCTACTCAACAACTTTTGTTGGGAACTATTCCATATATCTCGATTAAGGATGAACAGCCCTCAATAATCTTCTGGTATAGAGTTTCAACCATATTTTTCGAA